CCATAAGTTGGACATACAAAGCCATGTGCCTCGGTGTCTCAGCTTTGCCTACTTGTTTATCGCCTTACAATTCCATGTGCCTCGTGTCAGTCTGGGTCTGACCCGGGCTGCTTGGTTTGACTTGTTGCTTCACCGATTGCGCGGTTCCGCCTTCGAGGCGGCGATGGCGGTCCTGGGTTTTGGCTCCCTCTTCTTCTACGGCATTTGCTCCGCGCAGCGCCCGATGAGGTGCCAGCCGGCCTGTTTTCAACGCGAAGGGCCCACCGGTCACTTGCGGTTGATGGAGTTTGTCAGCAAAACCTTGGTTCGGTGTAGACGCTGGCTAGTATTCTTGCCAACAGAAGCATGACCATCCATCCAGGCAGGGGTTTTGGTCAGCTTCCAGATCAACCTGTTACACTGGAGACAACAGTAGGCTCAGAAACGACAGCCTGTTGCACATTCACGCGCAGGCCTGGTTTGTAGGCGAGGATGAAATGATAACATGGTGCACACCTCCAGGGTTCTACTTGGGGCGCCTCTAAGAAACCAGGTCTTTTCTTGGAGACGCTTTCGACCGCTCGCATGAGGTTCCTCCAATAGCTTGGGGCTGCGCCGGCAGCCCTGAAAGTGGTCGTACCCCACCCCTCCATCCCTCCATTGGCTTCCCTGACAGAGTGAAGAAATGGGTTTCCATTGATCCGCACACGGCAGCAAGGGGGTCTTCTTGCTACCTTTTGTAAGAAAATGGCCGACCCCCTCAAGTTGCCGAATCCTTCACTACGAGGCTTGGTCGATCAATGGTCCACCGGTGGCCAAAATTGGGCCGGACTCCCCGCCAGCCCGTCCGGAAGCCGCCGAAGCCGCCCGGCATGGCGCGCAGGTGGCTCTTCTTCGAAGTGGAAAAAGTGCCGCCCTTGGCGAACCCCTGCGTGGATGGAACCGTGGGCATCTTGTTCCTCCTGGACTGGAAGCTTGGCTCGGGAGGAGAAAAAAACAAAACAACACCCGGGCGAAGGGTGGGGCCCTCGCAAGGCACGTGAGTTGGTGTTTGTTTGGGTGAAACGGTCACAAGCCAGGAATCTTTCTTTTTTTTGTTGTGAAGCGCCTCACAAACGAGGATCTTTTCGCAAGAACTCGAGCCTGGTAACTGGTTTGACTGGCAAGGGGCTTGAAACCTGTTTGGTGGAGCCCGTGGGCCCATTACATTTGGCTAGGCTGATAACTCACCTGGACAAAAGGGGTCAAAACAGTTTTCCTTCATTCAAACTTCGCTGTTATTGGCCTGTTTGTTGGCCTGTTTTAGAACCTTTTTGTCCTTTCCTTTTGAATTCAAGCCAGCCGTTTGCATTTTGGAATTCCGCATTTTGGATTCTCATTTGGTGTCTTTTGGACGGCGGAAGCGAGCAAGCAAGTGAGTGAGCGACCGGTGATTCCAAAGACAATACATTGCGGGCCCGGTGTTTTCTCTTTGGAATTCACAGCTGCGGGCTCCGGTGTTTCTTGTTGAATCACACCTGGAGGTCCGTTTTTTTTTTTGTGCGAACACGCGGTCTCTCGAGACGTGTGGCTGTATTTTCTTTGAACTCGTGCCCGGGGGTCCCGCTGCTTTTTTTTGTTGAGTTCGTGCTTGAGCCCCCAGGCGTGAGTTCCATACATGTGATCCAAAAAGAAAAACACCGAAGCCCCATGTACTAAAGATTTGTAGGTGTTTTTGGTTCTGTTCGTCTTTAGTGGGGGCGTTGCAAAAAGGCACAGTTTTTTGCAAGCTCATACGAAGGCTTGGAAAGCAATCGGGTCGCTCTGGACCCACCCACGGGAACATGTTGGATGCGACAGCTGCGCGTTTTCCCCCATTCACATGTCCAGAGGCAAGCAGAGCATCGTAGATGGAGTCCCGTACTTCCATTTGCACAGTGTGGATGGACGAAATCCTGCAGCACTTTGAAACCATGGTTGAATCCAAATCAGCATTCCAGGGTTTCTCAGGTGGTGCAGGATTTCGTGTGTGCTTTTTCTAATTGTCCCAGCTGATTTGTTAGCGAAACTAGTCATGACTGGAAAAAAGCAACACGTTTTTGGTGGCACGTTAAGCAGATGAATGGAAGAGGAGAACAGATAAGATATCAGTCAAGCCTGCACCAACCCTTGCTGAGATACGAAGGAGTGCGGAGTTTGGGACGTTTCCATGCCTTCACCGGCCCAAAGGGGTGTTTCCTACTGGGAACCAGTCAGAATCGCCGAAAGCTATCTTTGGTGCATTTTGCCCCAAAAATGTGAGGACTTGAGCTGTTTGCCAACGAATACGGGTTTTCCGTATTAAACCGCTAGAAGGTGATCCACTGATCTGCAGGGAGCTTCGCAGATTTCGTTCCTGAGCTATGGGGTCCATAGGCCCCGGATGGGCTCCTTCGGGCGGTTCGCTCCCAGGCTGCGGGGCCTCGCTCCGCCGAAGCCGGGCCCGGAGGCGGAGGCGGCGGAGGCGGCGGGAGAGGTCAAGACCGTTGGGGTTGACTAGTCCCATTTTTGGTTGGGAGTGGTGAATTCACCACCCATTTTAGAAATTCCTGTTTGAGTGGTTGGATTGAGTCGGATGTTCGCTGGGGGTACGATTTGGATTTTGACCCATGGCCATGTCGCGTCGCAAGGGGTCCAGGTGAGAAGGAGCAGGAAGCCCCTGCAGAAGTCCAGCAGGGTGCGGGTGAAAATTTGAGGGCCGGGGTTACGCAGGCTTTGGAGTCTTTGTTTCCAGGCCCAAACATGGGTTCCACTTTTTGAGCCACAGCCAGCAGAAGGGGTCCAGGATGCGGCAGGAAGCAATTTTCTTTTGGCAAAACGGCGCTGGCCCCTTTGGATCTTTTGATGGTGATGGAAGAACGGAAAAGGCATAGTCAAAACCTGGGGAAGTGAAGATTAGGGACTGTTCCAACCAGAATTTGGTGCGGATATCTGCCTCCTCCTTAATTCTTGAACCATGGTTCTGGGTCGTCCAATTTGATACCCCAGAAATAGGTGCAGCCATCCGCCTTCTTAATTCTCGAAAATGGTTCCGGAGCATTCCAATAACGATCGGTTTTGAGTGTGACTCACCTGGGCTCCCTCTATCCCTCGTTGGGTCGGTTACAATATCACCATTTGGGTCGACCCAATCATCACCGTTTGGTTGCTTCACTTAGGGCACAGGTAGCAACAACATATTGCACCAGTTGGTGTGTTGGTGGGTTGTCTATCCCTTTTTTGGTGGGGCCGACTCCATCCCCTCTTTGGTTGCCAATCCCAAGTGAGTGTTGGATCATCTAGGTGCAAGCACTTAAGCAACGATTCCTACAAAATCACCCATGGAACCGCCCGACTGTCAGTGATCTTTGCCAATCCCAAGACCACATGAGGGGATGGTATAAGTTTTTTTGATGAAGATCCGCTCAAGACCAACACTTTGGTTGCCAATCCCAAGGTGGGTGTGGCTCAAAATGAAACAGCTGAGGTTACACAGGTTTTAGTCTACCTTTTCATTTACCAGTGTTCCATTTCGGACCCCCTGTTGCGCTTGCCACACCCAAGTGAGCCACAATCAAAACTCGGGTAGATAAAGGTTAGTAAGGGACAATCCCAGCGAGAAACTGCTGCGTCAGCCTTTGTATTTCCGTACATGGTTCTGGGTCAATCGTGTTAATACCGGGCTTTGACTGTGACTCGAGTGAGTTTTGGTCGCCTCCGACGCTTTTTTTTGGACGCGGTCCTCGGTCTTCGGACCGCAAGGGGCTGCTCTCGGAGTCCTCCAAGACCGCGAGCGGCTTCTCGCCCTGGAGCGGCGCGTTGGGTGCGTTGCGTCGGGTCGGGTCGAAAGTCGGATCCTTGCGGTTTCTTTGGGTGGTTTGGTTGGGTTGTGGTTGGTTAGATGTTGTTTGGTTGGTTTTTGTTTGCTTGTTTGGTTGTTTGGTTGTTTGCTGTTTGGTTGTTAATTAGGTTTAGTTAGTTTTTGTTTAGTTAGGTTTTTGTTTGGATTGTTTGGATTGGGTTTGTTTGTTGTGTTGCTTGATTGTTTGCTGTTTGGTTGTTAGGTCTATTTAGTTTTCGTTTAGTTGGTTTTTGTTTGGATTGTTTGGATTTGGTTTGTTTGTTGTTTTGCTTGATTGTTTGCTGTTTGGTTGTTTGGTTTAGTTAGTTTTTGTTTGGCTGTCTTTTGCTTGGATTGTCTGGGTTTGGTTGGCTTGTTTTGTTGTTTGTTTGGCTGTTTGGTTGGTTACTTTTTGTTTGGTTGGGTTTTGTTTGCTTGTTTGGTTGTTTGTCTGTTAGGTTGGTTTGTTTGGGTTTGGTTTGTTTGTTTGGGTTTGGTTTGTTTGTTCGGTTTGTCTGTTTTCAACTGAACCTTCTTGCGCCGCTTTGCCAGTTTGATTAGGGACTTCCCGACGCAGGCATGGAATCCCCTTCAAAAGTTGCGGTCTGTTTTCCTGGGTTGAAGAAAACGACGACCATCCAGGGGCGTCTTATATCGGACAATTCCAGGGATTGGCAACCAGACCCAGGTGCTTGGTTTCTCCGATCTTCTTTTGCAATCCACGACCACCAACTCCGTGCGCGTTCCCATGGTAAACTCTCTGGGCAACCTGAGTTGGGTAGGGATTTGGAACTGGTGCAGAGATCGGCGATGTGGTGAAACCCCGAAGGACAAGTGTCGGAAACCTTTAGGAATGACAGTGAAACCCCAAAAACGACCACCTCCCATTCAAAATCGCCGAAAGTCGTCTTAGGTTTTGACTTCCTTTTGGCTTCCCTTGCCCCGAAAAGGCTTCGTTGAAGCCAACCCCCCAAAAGGGTATTCTCAAAGACTTGCTGGCGCTCAGCAAGGAATGAGAAATGGAATGATCCCGAGATAAACCGTCCAACTGGTGGTTTCCTTTAAGGAAATCTTCAGGTTCATTCCATTTCTCATTCCCTACTGACCTCAAATTCCTTTAAGGGGACTGGGTTCAGAGATTCGTGTGGTCAAAAAAAGCTCTGGGCACCTTTCCAGGAGGCACATGGCCTACTTTCTCGCCTCGGTGCCGGGCATTGTCCACCTGGTGCTCTTTGCTCGGAACCCCAAACCGGAGGGCGGCCCCCGGCTGTGGGCGGAGGCGGTGGAGTTGTTTTTTGGGTTCCCGTGCTCGGGTTCTTCGAAGAAAACGCGAAGAAAGGCCGAAGAGTCGAAGACATAGGTGTCCTTTTTAGGTTAGTTCGCTTGGAAATAGATGCCACTGGTATTGTTTCATTTGGCAGCGCCATCTATTTTCCCAAAAGGACACCTATGGTCGAAGAGGGCCTCCTTTCTGATTTGTTCTCCGAGTTTTTGCCCCATGGCCACTTTGATTTATTAATTCATCAGTAGGAGAGCTAGTAACCGCTTGTGCCAAGCGTTGTTTTTATGCTGAGCGAACCTTAAAGCCCGCCCACGGAATGCAAGACATCCAGATTCCAACTCTGCTGACCCTTAGCATTTGCCGCTGTGCGCTTTGTTTGTCTGTCTGTCTGTTTGTTTGTTGGTTGCTTTGGTTGTGGTTGGCTGCGCGTGTTGTTTTTTTCCCCGCGTGTTCTGTTTGTTCTGTTTTGTTGCCGCTTGCCAGGGTTCAACCATGGTTCAACCGGCGTAAAGACGGGCCCCCTGGAAAGGGAACCGACTCCCTGCCGAGAGACCTGCCCCATGTCAGCGCGTGCACGTGCTGCGGTCTCTATTCCGCCAAGTGGCCACTTCCCTTAACTGCGACGTGAGCGGTCATCCAACTGTTGCAAAGGAGAGCGAAGCGAGCAAATCGGGACACGCCCCATTCCGGTGCGGTAGAGATCGCCTCTGCAAGTGCGCATTTAGAGTGGGGCGGCTCCATGTTTCATGCTTTGGGGGCGCCGGCTTACCTGCTGAGATGGCCAACGGCGACAAGAACGGCAGCGGCATCAGCGGCGTGGGCAACGGCTTCTACAGACGCTTGATGTGGAAAGGTGGCTTGAGGATAGTGAATATCCAAAAAAAAGACATGGGCGGACCTCCAGAAGAAACAACTAAGGTCTCTTTTTTTTGGCAACCCGTCACACGCATTTGGTAGCCTCCTGAAAACCTATGTTTCATTTTCGGCGAAGGCACTGAGATATGTTGTTATCTGAGAAATCTTTGGAGCGTTTTGGCAAGCCGATATATTGCCATATCAATGGACAAGAGGTCACTGCATTGCAACTTGAGTCGGAGGATACAAAGGCTGGGGTTTCATTGAAAGGGAAGTGCACTTGCATGCTCGGAGGGCAACGTTTGATATTCTCCGTTTTGAGATTTGAGGCATGAATTGTGTTTGCGCGCGAGGGGGTGCACGAAGGCTTAGATGCCATGTTGTACCATTCCCGCATTGCCGGTCCATGGGATTATCTTAACCAAAGTATTCACCAAAAAAGGCCATTGGGTGGTTCTCAACATTAGGCACCCCTGTAGAACTTGAGTTTTGGTTCGAAGGGTCACATCCAAATCATGACCGGCTTCCACACTTCTCACTCAAGGGCCTTGCCTACCAGGTTCCAGCTCCAAAATGCAATTGCCCTATTGGGAAGCTGCAGAATGCTTTTGACCCCCTTTCTAGGGTTCTTGAGGGGCAACCTTCAAACTTTGCCCGTGCAACACCTGCACTTCTTTGACACACATGGTGAACCGCTGTAGTGCCACAACCCATTCTCTCCTTGCGTCATGGGTGGGGTGTGGGTCAAAAATCGGTAGCCTGAATGGAACCCAGCTGGGGAAAAGAAACAAAGACCAACACCCGCCTTCTCCAATTCCTGGTGGTTTCATTTTGATCCCCATACCCACTTCATCTTCGGATTTTTTCCTCCGAACAAAAAACTCGTCGCGCGTCCTTCGAATTTGGTCCTCCGCCACGTCGAACATTCGCACTTCCAAGGCCGCCAAAATTCGATTTTCGCACGTCGCAAAAAAAAAGAAGAAACGAGGCCTCTGCTGCCTCTGGCGGATCTACCTGCTGGAGCGCTGGCTGGAGCACCCCTTTTGGTCGGCCATGGAGGCCTTGTACGCCGGGAGGAAGCAGTTGGTCACCACAGGCCCGGGGGTTGGTCGCGGCTGGACGGAAAAACTGGCTGGCATAGGCAAGGGCAAGGGAAGGAGAAATGGAAGGACCCCGGAAAAAAAAAACACCCAAGAATATCAGGAAAAAACAACAACGAAACTATCTGGTGGTTTTTTTCTTAAGGGAATCCCAATGAGTTGGAATGACCCAGAGATACACCGAATCCCAACTGCTGGATTCCTATTTGTGGGGACCAAAGCCTGGGTTCGTTCCCACATTCCCCACTGAGTACCAGTAAGACAAATTATATGGGAACAATTGCTTGCATTGCGCGGACTTTTTTGCGGATTTCTCGGGCCCTGGAAAGTGGTGCGAGCGGTGGGTTTCCCTTCCCAAGCAGCCAGCTGGGAAAGCCCGCTCGGAAGGATGGCGCATGGCATTTTTGGGCGGGCATTTTGGGCCATGGAAAGCGGTAAGGCAGGCCGCAAGCAGGCTGCTTCGGGGCAAAACAGCAGAGACTTGACCCATGAAAGACCTGTGTTCTTTGAGAAGCGATCGTTTTGGGATCGGTGAATTGTACTTTCTTGCGTAGATGAGCTATCGCACAGTCGTAGCTCCCCGCTGATGTTGCGGGGTTTTGGTCGAAGGACACAGTTGAAGCAAGCGCCCCAAATTTAACCTTTCAACGCATTGTCGTAACCATGGTCTCCCTGTTCATAAGGGTATAGCATATGTACATATGGGTCACGTCCCAGGGATCACGAACTTCTTTGCTTGCATTTGGCAGGTGTTTTCTATCCCTCCCCCCACCCCCCAGTTGCCCCAAACCGTACAGAGACAGACAGACAGACAGACAGACAGACAGACAGGCAGGCAGGCAGGCAGGCAGGCAGGCACGCAGACAGACAGACAGACAAACAAACACACCCGCGCGCGCGTGCCTTACCCCACGGCATCATGCTTCAAATTGTTTACCCAGGTTCCATCCTCGCGATCCGTTCTGTCTGTTTGTCGTTTTTTTGAATGTTGTGTTTGTCTGTGTGTCTGTTTGTCCGTCTGTGTTGTGTTGTGTTGTGTTGTGTTGTGTTGTGTTGTGTTGCGCTGCGTTGCGCTGCGTTGTGTTTTGTCCGTCTGTCTGTCTGTCTGTCTGTCTGTCTGTCTGTCTGTCTGTTTGTTTGTTTGTTTGTTTGTTTGTTTGTATGTATGTATGTATGTATGTATGTATGTATGTATGTATGTATGTATGTATGTATGTATGTATGTATGTATGTATGTATGTATGTATGTATGTATGTATGTATGTATGTATGTATGTATGTATGTATGTATGTATGTATGTATGTATGTATGTATGTATGTATGTATGTATGTATGTATGTATGTATGTATGTATGTATGTATGTATGTATGTATGTGTTTTGCTTGTTTGTTTGTTTGTATGTATGTATGTATGTATGTATGTATGTATGTATGTATGTATGTATGTATGTATGTATGTATGTATGTATGTATGTATGTATGTATGTATGTATGTATGTATGTTTGTTTTGTCTGTTTGTTTGTTTGTTTTGCTTTGTTTTGTTGTGCTTCGTGTTTGCCTGTCTCTCTGTCTCTGTCTCTTCTCTATCTCTGTTTGTGTCTGTGTCTGTGTCTGTGTCTGTGCCATTGCGGCGATAACCGCTGCACAAAGCGGCTATGAGTGGCTGGGCACGCGCACACGGATGGCCTTCAATTCATAGGTGTCCTTTTTGGTTGTTTTGGTCCAAAAATAGATGGCGATTCCTGGTTTACCTGGTGGTTTAATCATCTACCTTTCCCCTAAAAGGACACCTATGCTTCCCTTGCTCCCAGTCAGAATTCAAAATCCAGGCGTGTCACTTTGTCACCGCTGCCCAACCACATGAGCAGAGCGGATTGGCAAGCCAACAAGCCCCGTCTAGCGAGGGGCGCGTGCCATAGGCGCAGTATCCATCTTCTTTTGGTACCTTGGCGCTCACTTGCTGTACTTCACTGAGACCCTTGGCTAAACTCTCGGGCGAAGCGGAGACAACTGCAGAAGACTTTCGCTCGAACGGGCAACTCTGAAAAAAACAGGGGGAACGCGCGTCACGCGTTGGCCCAGATATGAATAGCATGATGCTTTTCGTGGCCTGTTTGCAGAAGCCGACGAGTTCTGTTCTAAGGGAATACTTGTCCCAATGCCTGGAAGATGGACAGTTTTTCACATGGTCAAAGTTGTGGCAACGCACAGAGGGGCTCAGCTCGGTGTAGATACAGAGACAGAAAGAGGGAGAGAGAGAGAGAGAGAGAGAGAGAGAGAGCGAGAGCGAGAGCGAGAGGGAGAGGGAGAGAGAGAGAGCGAGCCGCAGCTTGATATATTTCTTTCGGGCATGCGTTGGCCATGTGCTGTATGGCCTGGGTTTTGTGGGTGCAAGCGCCGCTTTTTTTGTTTATTGCTCTTTGTGACAGCGTGCACTCAAGCTGACCGCATCGCTTGGACCAGTGAAAGGGCCTTTCTGGGTTCCCCTTTGCCCTCCTTTGTTTTTGGGGGCCAGACCATTCGGCGGTCCCGAATTTGAGCCGCCCAGCTCCGGTTTTGTTTTCTCTTCTTGCTGATTCCCAGCAAGGAATCAGGCAATCCGAGATAAACCAGCCCCTATGGCCCTATGATTTCCTTTACGGTGTTGTTGCTTTTCTTGCTGGGAATGCCCCCCTACAAGCCATAGCATCTGGTTTCCTTTAAGGGACCCCCCTTCCGGTTCCTTCCCCGCCCGGACGCTGACGCGTCGCTCGCTCCGCGTCGACTCGAGGTTCGACAACCCCGACGCCAAGATCCGGGAGTTCTACGGCTCCGTGGCCCGGGCCATTTGGGCCTGCTCCATCTACCTCAACGGGGAGTGGGTCTTCTGCGCCTCGCTCCGGCGCCCCAAAAGGTCGGCCCTGGATTTCATGAAGTGGTTGGTGTTGCGTTTTCTTTGGGGACAAGCACCCTGGGGAAAAAGCGAGACGGAGGGAAGCGGAAAAAGTGGCGACTCACGGGTTTTTTCGGCATCCTGGGCCTTTGGGGTCCATTTCTTGGAACCATTTGTCCCTCACCACAGGTTCGCTGGGGCCGAAACGCCTTTGGTTTCAACAAGAGGCTCGGATCCCCAAGAAAATGCGAAGAACTGGAAAGCTGGGTGAAACTGGTCGCCGGTTGCATCGTGCTCAAGCGCAAACATTTTTGGCGTCGCGGGAGATGGCATGTTCGCATACTTTGTCGACTGATCCTCACATGACCTCCCCAAATGGCGGTTTATGTTGGGAATGGCCCCCCAACCACCGCCAGTTTCAGGCTGGTGAAATATGAGAATTCACCCAGAAATGAATTAGAGACGTTGGTGTGCTTCGATGATTGAGCTGCCGGGGTTGGCACTGACGCCTGAAACTGGGGACCCAGGGGAACAAAGGTAAATCCTACGTCAACGCAACACCGGAATGCCTTGATCCCATGAGCCACAATCAAAACCCGGACAGATGAAGGTTAGTAAGGGGCAGTCCCAGCCAGAAATAGCTGCGGTCGCCTTCTTAATTCTTTAGATGGTTCTGGGTAGACCATTTTGATACCGAGTTTTGATTCTGACTCCCATGGGGCTGGTGACCTTTGGACACCAAAACGGTTCGCGCGGCGGGCCACCAATTCGAGTCGACACCAAGGTGACTTCAGCTGGGCTGGGAAGGCGGTGGGCGGCTTCATCGTCCTCTTCGGCGTGAGCATCGTGGTTGTGCCCATGTCTGCGCCTGGGCTGAAGCATGAGGCGAAACTGCGTCCCCAAACTCGGGACCAAACTCGGACCCAAGTCGGGCCCACCTGATATTGTCCCCACTATTGGTGTTGATCACTATCAACGCGAGCGCTTCCCATGTGGAATTGCAACAGATTCATTCCACAGGCGAAAGGCAGCCCTTTGGCGCGGCAATTGCTTTGCGTTTCGCTTCGTGGAACCGAAGGTCTCTTCTTGCGGGGACAGTTTGGAGGGCTGCAAGGAACCCAAGTTGGGCAAAAAGGAACTAGCGGCGAATTTTACGACCTCGAGGAGATTCTAGAACATAACAAAGTTGACATGATTTAACCATCATGAAATTCTTGAATTTCATCAACATTTGGGACCTCAGCAGGTCCTCATAAACTGCTTGATGAGGTTCATCTTTTTTCTCGACATAGCATGCTAGTTCAACATCTCTGCAAAGAGCTTGGTCTTGTGCAGCTTGCTGGCACCGGATGAAGCGCATGACTTGTGCGTTGGTTTCTTGTGGACATGACGCAAAGGAACTCGCAGACCCAAGCATCCCCGTCGCAAGACGAGACGAGGCACCGTGTCACGAAGCCACCGAGGGCAATGGCATTCCGGATTCCATGGTGTTTTGCGGAGATTTGAATGGAGCTGTGGATAAGGTTGCTTGGAACCAGCTTCTAGACAAGGTTGGCTTAAATTTGTTTCTTCCGCAGGTTGCTTATGTCCACGCTTGTCTGATAAGCCGTACACACTGCCCAGTGATGTGGCTTATGATAGAAGGTGCTGTCTTCGTTTTGAGGGTTTAACAGGTGGGCCGTTATCCTGGTGTTTCCCAATGAGGGTTACCCTACCAATTGACATGGAACCGTTCGACGTTCGGGGGGTTCTGGTTTGGACCATTTTCCTTTTAAAGGGACCCCCAAACGTCGAGCGGTGCCATGTGAATTGGTGGGAGGGTAAGACTTGGGCTTGGCAAGCCTTCCATCTGAGTGGGTATGGGTCAAAAATAGGTACCCAAATCAAAATAGAACCCTGGTAAATGGACACATAGACATTTCAACCTGCGGTCCGATTCCTGGTGGTTTAATTTTGATCCCCATACCCGAGTCACACTTTCGGCTGGCGCCAGCGGCTCGAGCGAGCTCTCGCGGCTGAAGGTCTTCACCTTCAACTTCCTCACGAACATTCAAGGGGACTTCTACGAGACCAAGGCGCTGCCACTGGAGGGCCCGTTTTTTAAGCGCTCCCGCTTGTGAGGAGCAGTGAGGGGGAGATGGGGAAAAAACCGCTGGATTGAGGAATTTACTTGCAGTCAAGGGCTGCCATACGCCCTTCAACATGGTTGGTCTTGTGTTTTGTCGGGCGGTGTAGCTGCCACTGAGCAACTGTGCCGAGATGCTGTCTCCTGAACTTTGTCCAATCTGTTTGACACTGGCCAAACAATGGAGAGGTTGCTTGCCGAGACGGCTCATCGGGATGATTTTCAGGCATGGCTTACAGGAATGATGCCATACGCTGGATAGGAGTTGTAGGCAGATCGTCATAGCATAGCAAGCGGCTCCATGCAAGCTTCAAAGGCCGGATGTACACGTCTGCCCTTTGGGGTCCTCCCGGAGGTTAAGCGGGATATACAACCACTCGCCACTATACAAACGGCAGATGCCCATTTTTCCCTGGGCGTAGTGGTTTCAGGGTAGTGGAATCTTAGATTGGCTGGTACAGAAATCAGGGTAAGGAGCGTGATGCACATGACCTTTCTTTTGGTTGCAATCAAAGTATGGATTGATGACAAGCCCTTATGGTTGTGTTTGGTGTCACTCAAGCTGCAGTTTGTCTTGGGCTGTGTTTCTCGGACTCACCCACTCTTCATTTGGTGGCGTCCTAAACTAGGGAGGCCTTTTGATTCTGAGTTTATTCCGGTTTCCCTTTGCAAACTACGGACACCGAGGACCGCATTTTTGGACGCCCTGTCTCTACTGCACACTCAATTTTGCCAACCAGACATCAGATTCGCACGAGCATTGGTTGGTTGGCGCCTCACTTTGGTGGCTCGAAAAGGGCCACCAACAGGAAAGCACACGTTTTGAAGGCTCCATTTTGAGCACCGCCAAATGGCAACCACGGTTCCCATCCCTGGTCTTTGGATACATCTTTCATACCTCGTTAGGGCGGGATGGGATATTCCAAAACACTTGACGATTCCATGCCGAGCGAATTCACGAGACTGGGGTTTGCGACCAGGTTTCTTTCATAGGTTAGTAAATCTAGTCTGGCGGCGGCACCGCAAAGGCGCTGCCGGCAGTTTTTTTTCTTCGTTTGGTAGCAAGGCAGGAGGTTGGCGAAGGTGAATAAAAGGGGCGCCCCTCATCGGCCTACTGTGGATGGACGAAATCCTGCAGTAGCGGGGAGACCCCGGAATGGTACCCCTGTAACCACCAACAGTGGCTTCAACCATGGTATTCTTCTGTGGCGGGAACGGATTCCGTCCATCCACGGTCTCGTTCCCGCGTTCAGGTGTGGCACCTCAAGGCGGAGCCCGCTGACCTGTGGCAGCTCAAGGCAGGAAAAGGATGTGGATCTGGCCGTTTCTGGTTTTATAGGTGTTTGATTATTGGGTCTTTTCCCGAAAAGGTTTTTGGTTTTGATAACAAATGGGCTTAAACAAAAACAAAAAACTGCATTGGGTAGGGCAAGGGTGGCATGGTTCCTCCCTGCCCTCTTCAAGTTTTTTCTCTCTCCCCCCCTGCGGAGCCCCGCATCGGGGGTTGGTTTGGGGGGTGACATGCCAGTTGATGCCCAAAGATGACGCGCCGGTGTGGCGGAAGCAGCTCTTCCGCCTCCTGTACGAGCACTTGCAGAAGCTGGAGAAGTGCCCTCCGGCAGGAAAAAACATCGGAAACCGTCCTTCACAGATCCCTTCCAGCACAACAAGGGCCGGGGGCAGCCGTTCAAACATGGAGAGAAGCGTGTTTTTTTTGTGGGACTGTGGGTTTGTTTGGCCTTGTTGTTGACCTTGGGTGAATTTGGCGCCCAAACACAGTCGAAAGAGCACCGAACTGCTTGCTTTTCGGCGCGATGTGTTTGGACCCGCTTTGGGCATGCAGCCCGCGGACATGTCGAGCTATCTTTCGCTTGTGGCTTGGCAAGGCACAGCTCCAAAACATCCGGGGCACTTCCAATTGTTGTCTTGCTAGTTTGCACAGCAGCTTGACCAGAGAAATTGACCTAGGGCATTCCAGGAATACATGCACCCTTGGACAGCTTGAGCTTTCCTGGGATGACAAGAAAAAACGCACACCTGCACCAGGGAATCAACCTCCGGGGTTCCGGCAAAAAAACATCGGCGACGGCGTATCCATCCTACCTCAAAGACGGCAGCGCTGCGGAGCTGATTTTTCTGGCCAGGGAGCAGAACGCACTGTCCTTGCCAGGAAAAAAACACATTTGCGAACCAGACCTGTGCATATGATACAAGTCTGTTGTTATGTTTCGGCCAGAGCTTCCATTTCAGGGTGTCAACTTTGGATTGGTTGGGGATTGAATTGAACCCTTGGTTCTTGCAGGGGGTAAATGACCACCCAAGCACCCAGCCACCCACCCACCCAACCACCCAACCACCCAACCACCCAACCACCCAACCACCCAACCACCTACCACACCACCCTTTTTAAGGCTAGCTGAGACTACACTAAGGGACTTTTCTCGGTCGGTGTTTCGGATCGACACGCAGATCCGATCGAAGCCGCCGCTTCTCTTTGCTCCGAGGCCTCAAGGCCAAGGACAAGGGCCAGGACAGTGCGGGAGCTCAGAGACGGACCACGGCGACGGGAGAAGCGTTTGTATTTCTTCTTCTTTTTCTTTTTCGGTTGGACTTCCCCAGGTAAATGCCGTTTTGGTCCTGGCTTCCCTTTAAAACCAGGAAAAAGGGTACCCATGGTACCCTCAAAAAGAGACAAAGCCAAGTAGGGAAAACACGAAAGGATTTATTGGACACCGGGCCGAAGTACCACACATTATCTCATACTGGACGTCTCCGTTGCCCGTTTGTCCCGGCACTTCCCGTTGTGATTGCGTTTCCTCTGCTTCTCTTTGGGATGGATATCCGTTATCAACCACTCAAAGGAAAGAGGCCTGGCCACTTAGACAAGAGGTTGCCATGTGAAGGAAGTTTCAAGGCGAGACTTGTTACCAATGTGGCAAGAGTTGAGGCATCAGAAAAAGAGGGCGTTCACGTTCAAAAGCCACAGACTGCACTTTATCACTTTGGGTCGGGCCACTTTGTTGGACCCGTTTCTCGTTTCATTCAAACTGCTCTTTGCCACTGCCTGCGACGGCGGCATCTGCAACTTGAGAACGTTCTGTTGTGTCCAGGACTCACTTTCTACCCCTGAACAAATCTTAGGCCCCACGAGGAGATCTAGGCACCCTTAGCCAGTAGTGAACAGTGAGCCTCGTTCACTTTTGGATCCCTAGGTGCCAGTCAACGTCGGCTCTCCAAGTTGTCATTGAGGTATTCACTCGTGGGGATTTTTGCGTGCCCCTTCAGGGCAGCGGAGTGGAAAGGACGAAGCCAGATGGTTGGAGCACGGCAATTGGATGTTTGGGACATGTTGCAGACACGAGTTCCATTTGCTTGAGAATATTTGTTATTTTCCCTTGTTGGTTTAAAGGGAATCCATCACTGGGAATGTGTTTATTTTTCCAGGGGGCTTAAGCAAGTTGAAGTTTAGACCAAGGGGCTCCCTCGACGCGGCCAAAGAAACGAGTCACATGATTTCAGCTCAGGTCCGAAGTGGGAGCTGCCTGCGGCTCAGTGGTGTTCATTCAAAAGGCTGCGTTGAGCCTTTCTGTCGTGTTCTGAAGAGCGCAGGGGCGGAAAAATCGCCAACCATTTGTTGGTGGCCCTCAGCCATCCTTAACTGTTTAGGTTTTGTAGGGTTTAGTGGTAGTTTTCATTGAACCCCAAAGTTGCACTTTTAGCAGGGGATCTGAGGGCAGCTCAGATTCGTGGCCTGTAGAGGCTTGATTGACGGCTGACGAAGCAGTTCGAAGTCATGTGTTTGGAACCCGGAGCAGGGATCACTCAAGGATTAGGGATGCATGTACAGCTCCGGAGCAGAGCCCTTTGCTTCTTGACTGCCTTGGAAAGACAGAAAAGTGGTGGGGTGGATTCCTGTTGCAGGTATGCCTCTGAAAAGGGAGGAAGGAAGGACTCAGCAAACGCTGAGGTCCCAAGGCTTCCTGCTCTTCAAGTGGGTCTCGATCACCGCGTCCGTGGTCTTTGTCTTGGCCGGGATGGGTTTGAGGAGCAGAATTGCTTAGAAATCCATTGGTGGATGTGAGGGGGCACCTCTTCTTCATGCCAAATCGTGTGGGACCCTTCTGTTGATTGTGATGTTGTGCAAACAAATTGGTGAACCGCGGGTGAGTTTGATGCGGGCATGTGCAAAATGAGTTTGAACCTTGTTTGGGCATTTGTTTGTTTGTTTGCTTGCTTGCTTGCTTGCTTGGAATCTTTCGAGACACGGGTTGGGGAAACAAGTTGCTAGGAGTGGTAAAGGAGGCTGATGGTAGCTACTGTCGACCAACAACATCCTGCACCAGTAGGTGTTTTATCTCCGTATTCATAAGGTTTCGTCCATCCCAGCTGGTAGATTTGTCAATCAGTATGGCAGATCCCACCGGAACCCGCGAGCGAGGCATTTCCATGGATTTTCGGTTTGCTTTCAGATTTGGGTAGCCCCCAGAGAGAGGCCTCCATTTGGCATCTAGGCTTTGACCGACCTCCGGGCCAACTTCAGGTGCTGCTGTGGATGGACAAAATCCATTCGCACCAATTTGAAACAATGGGAAAGCATTGGTTGTTGGTATTTTACAGGGGAATTATCATTCCAGTGTTTCTTAGGTGGTGTCTAAGAAGATTTCGTCCATCCACAGTACGTTTCTGGATTTTTGTTTCTTTGGGTGCAACTCCATGTTGTTCCTGGCCAAAGTTGAAAGCAGGTGGGCTTGACAGGAAACTTGAACCATGGCCCTGAGCATCTTCTGGCCTGAGCATCCTTTTATTCAAGGCAGTCCAAACATGCAAGCAATTGCCTTGAATTCCCCCCCCCCCCGCGTCGTCCGGGTTTTGAATTGAACAAAAGCGATCGGCTCTATATAAATTCCTCTCCAGATCACCATCATGGAGAACAGCGAGTACATGAACACCGACAACTGCGTGGAGAGCTCTGCCAGGAACCCTCTCTTTCATGGCCCCGATGAGATCCAGCGCTGTAAGGACTTCTTCTCCCGCGCAGCCCGGCAAGCCAGAGTTGTGGTGCGAAGGCTTCGGAGCTCCGGCGGTCAAAGGGTGCCATTGTTGAAAAGGGACACCTGAGTCATAATCAAAACCCGGTATTAAATTGGTCTACCCAGAACCATGTGAAGAATTAAGAAGGCGGATATCCGCAGCTATTTATGGTTGGGATTTTCCCTTACTAACCTTCACTTACCCGGGTCTTGATTGTGACCCCTGAACTCGGGCTTCCACACCTTGAATCCTTCCGCTTTTCTTTTTCCTTTTAAGGGTGAGTGTCAAAGGGTAGACATGAAGGTGGAGATCGATCGAACTCCGCCTGGAGGTTCTCGAGCGCAATCTCAGCCATCAGGATATCCCAGTCCTATTTGAGAAGTGACTCTGCCTTTGCGACCTTGAAGGGGTTTGCGGATCTGTTCTCCTCTGTTAGCCGGTCGAGCACTTTTTTTTTGGTTGGCGATCCGATGTTGGGGAACCGTTGATTCACGTCTGAGTTGGATCACGTGGAGTACAGCGTGGACCTGGTGTTCCTCCACTTCTTCATCTTGGAATTTATCATGCGCTGCGTTTGCCTTCGCCGCAGCCTCAGATGCCTTCAAACGATCCACCTGGGGTTGTTCAGAACGATGCCAAAACGAACCTGGCAATCGGAACTTCGCTGGACAACTCCTGTGACGAGTGACACAGTGGGGCCCTTTGTTTTACCAAAAGCTGTGGGGCTGGACAAATTTCTGGGGTGAGAAACGAGGTTCAGCCCCCCAACCCCCCCCCAATCCCCCAATCCCCCAATCCCCAATCCCCCATCCCCCAACCCCCCCCCAACTCCCCCCCCCCCCAACCCCTGCAACCCCCCATTCCCCCCCCCCCATCCCCCCAAACCTGCCAACCGAAGTTTCGGGAGGCTGGCGGCACCTGATCTCGGAGCTGGGCCTGGCAGAGATGCTCTCGATCACGGGCCTTGTGGCGTCCCTCACGGACTACCGGGAGGCGCGCGCCTTGCGCGTTCGAGAAAAAACCGCCCCCGACGAGGGGGGGGGGGGAATGGGGAAATAAATGCGTTTCGAGCTTTTGGTTTCGTTTTTGAGGAGGGATTCAGGTTTGGAGTGTGAGGGGCAAGCGGAAGAGTGAGTGGCTTGTGGTTTAACAATACGGAGCTTTGGTGATTTGGGGCTTTGGCATTTCTGATGGCTGCTATATGATACCATGAGAGAAATCCCATTGAAGAGGTCTCAAAGGGCCGCTAGTAGAATCATGGGACCAGAACGCAGCGCGAACACACACACACACACACACACACAACCCATCTTCCCCCTTTGGGATTGAACGCTTACCGGCTCACGAAAGATCGGGAAGAACCATCACAGCTAGCCACGCTGTGGATGGCCGAAATCCATTTCACAGCACCTAAACAGCCCATGATTCGGTTCCCCTGCAAATGCCAACAAAATCGTTATGGTTTTACGGCGCCATATGGTTTCCACCATGGTGTCTCAGGTGGCGCGAAATGGATTTCTCTAGGGGTACCTGCCCCATTCTTTCCAGGCATCCTTCTTTCGAGAAAACCTCCGGAAACCAAATTCAGGGCTCCAAAGTCATGCACACGGCACCAGAACCCCAAAACTTCCAGGTCACATGTCACGAATCGCGACTTCCGGTTCTTGGAACGGGGAATCGATTTCGTCGCGAAAGGTGGCGCTGCACCACCCGGAGCAGCACAAGGAGTGGACCTACAAGCTGGCCATCGGCTCGGTGGTGAGCCTGCGCCTCTGTCGCCTGGTCTGCGTGGGGCCGGGGGCCCCAAGTCAGGCACGGGAAGCCGCGGAGGCGGCAAACTGGGCCGAGGAAATGTGGTCTTTGGTCGGCGCCAGGGCGCATTTTGTGCCGGAAGGTGGTGGTTTGCTTGCACCCAGGCGCATTTTTTTTCTCGAATTTGCGCCGGCTCAAAGTGAGCCGGAGTCTTTGAGAGAGCCGTTTTCTTGTTGTTTTTGGAAGATTCCTCTTCTGCATCTCATGGTTTTTGGTTTGCCCTTAGCTCATTGTTCCAACTTCGAGACGTGGGCGTCCTTTCGAGTGAGCAGACTTGGAGCCGAAACAATGGCCCCCAATGGCCATAAACCCAGGGGTCCTCTGGAAGAAATGACTTCTTGTTGCGGGGACCCGCCTTCCTTTTTACTTTTGACTCATCTTAAGAGGGGTAGTTGGCACCAGACAGGCAGAAACCCTTCATGCAATCCTTGTTATTGAAACTTTCGATGACTTGAGGGAGGCGGCACTCGCAGCAAGCTCGCAAGGCCATCCTCGGGGTTTGGCAGTTTCAATGTCGCTGGAACTATGGACGCCCACGTTGGCCAGCTCGGAAATAGGGTCTGCTGGGAGATTGAGAGAATTGAGATATTCTCACGTCACTCCCTTTTGGGATGGCTTTAGAGGGAAACCAAAGGAAAAGCGCCAATTTGTGGGTCCTCTAAAAAGACACACACACACACATTGATGACATATATATATATAAATTATATATATATATATGAATATGTACGCATCTGATTTCAAGTCTTTCAAGTATCGGGTCGTATCCTTGCTCTCAGGGCTAGCGGATCCGGCAGGAGTGGGATACGTTTTGACCATGGCTTTCTGAATCCCAAGCCGGAAAGTTGCGAAGCGCACTTTGCTCCATTCTCACCGAAGCATCCATAGAACTTTATTTCTCAGGGGCCCGAAAGATACACCAAAGATTGAGGGATGAGTTGTGTGTTAGAAGCAGAGCTGCCATGCAAATGGCGAACTCTTGTGCAGATCCGTGTATGCTGATTCCCGAACACGAGGTGAAAGTCTGTTCAAATTCCATGTCCTATGCCGTGCTATTGCAAAGCACGCATTGCAAGGTGCCATGAAGGCATCAGGTGAAGCTTTGCATCCGGATGGGAGATTGGTCAGGGCGTTTGGGCATCGGCTTGGGTGCAATGGGCTCTTCTCAACTAGGAAACTGTGGGTCCATGTCCAACTTTCAGGCGCTGGGATTTGGTGAATCCGTTCGCTCCCACAGCAGACTTGCCGCTGGGATTTGTGTTTTTTTTCTCTCCGCGTTTGGAGGTCCTACTTTGGCCTATTGAGGGCTCTCCGAAAGGCGGGCGGGTCGAGGAGTGAAAGATCCCATGTCGAGAGACGAGATTTTCGTGGAGCGTTGGTTCGGGCCCAGTCTGGCGAGCAAATCGTCGCGGCGACTGGCGACTGGAGTTGTGGAGTTGGGATATGCGGAAGTGCACGAAGCGCAGGTGGGGTTGTGGGGGTTAACAGCTCTCACAGTTGCGGTTTCCCTGACCCAGCTACATCGGGGCCAGGTCCACTCGTCAGGCACTCTGTCGCTTAGAAGTCTGCTTGCTTTCAAGCTCTATTTGCTTGAACCTAGCTCGAGTCTTGCCAATGGATCCCGCGTATGAGTGAAGTAGGTAATTAGACTGACATGGTCTCCCACCAAAGCAGAATTGGATGCCCCTGTCTCATTCTCGGAGAAAAGGGCGGCTTGTTCAGCTGGCAGCAAGGATGCACTTGTGGCTCACAACAGGGGCTTTGGCGGATAAAGTGTGCGGACCAGGGTCCCAGCCCAGAAGAAATGGCGGTCGTCCAGCCTACTGCCTGAAGGATCAAAGGCCCTCTGGCATCTTCAGCTCGAAGCATGAAGGGCACCCAAAGCGACTAGATCCGCATGTTACTGGTCAATTTGCCACCGGCGGTACCTGGAACGACCTACGTTTGGAACCTCGGCTTCCCCCTTGTCGTAGGTTTCTGGAGACTTTGGGCCCTGAAGCTCCCCCCCCCCCCATTTTTTTCAAACGTGGATCCCCATATTTCCCGGTGTCGCCGGTTTGAAGCCTCGCCTTCTTTGGCACAGTTTTTGGGCTGGACCCGGACTCCAGGACTCCAAGTTCGCCAGGTCGTGGCCGTGAGCCAGTGGTCGCTGCTGAAGAGCTTCTACTTCCTGGTCGCGGCGCGGGTCTCGGGTCTCACGAACTCCGAAGGGCTTGCGGGAGCCGAGCGAAGCTGAAGCTCTCTTCCAGTTTCTTAGGAATATGTTCTTGTTCTTCCCTTGTTGGATTGAGGGAATTTATCACCGGATATCTTATTCTTTCCAGGCTTCTCAAATGGAGCTGGAGGTCCTTGGCCATATCCCCCCCAAAAAAAACGTGCATCCATGGGCTCGACCCCCCTGGTGGGCTTTCAGAGAATTCATGGGGAAGATGTTCACCACGGAACATGAGGAGATCAGGGGCCTTGTTCAACAAAAGCGGAGGCTCCAACAAATCTTCTCCTTTTGCCGTGCTTTGATGTCCACTTCAACCCGCCCATTTGGAGACATATTTCGAGAGCTCTGCTCCAGCTCAGCCTCAGCTCTCCAGCGCTCGCCTCGGAAGCTGCGCGTGACTTCGCGGGAGGTGTGGTTCACCCACGCCATGCTGCTGCACTTCACGGAGTTCCAGAACCACACCCAGGCCCTGGCGGGCGCCCAGGTCCTGCCCTCCATTGAGGCGATCCGAGCCGATCCGATCCGATCCGAGCGGAGAGCCCGAGGGGGTGGTGACTGTGTGCGTTTTTGTTCCTCGGGGTTTTCTTGGGTGGTTGTGTAAAAGCCCTCCGTTTTGCGCTTTTCTTGCCGCGTTTTTTTTTGGTTATCTGTTCTTCTTCTTTTTTTTCTCCGGTTTCGATGAGAGGTGGGTTGGGACTTGGGAAGCTGGTTCTTTTGGCGCTTCCCTGGTTGATATCCCAGGCGCACAGCTATGGTCAAAACGGCTGACCAGCAGCTCACAGGGACAGGCCTTTGATGACCATAACACTGGGAGCTTCTGAAGCCCACAGCGGTCGATTCACAAAGCCTTGAGCCTTGAATTGGGTCTTTAACAGGGGTCCCTCTTTGAAATCTGGGATGTGTCCCAAGCCCGCCCGCCCATTTTTTTTGTTGGGGGGGGTGTTTTGGGGGGGGGCGGGGTTTGGGGGGGGGGTTTGGGGGGGGGGGGGGGGCGGGGTGGGAGTTTTAGGAGCTCGGGGGCTCCCAAACCACGATTATTTCGATTTCTGGGGAAGCCTTGGACCATCGCTCCGCACCCAGCTGCGCCAGGCGCAGTTTGTGCGCCACCAGCAGGGCTACGCGACTTTGGTGGAGGCGACTTGCCGCTGACATTTCCGGTTTTCCCTGGCTCTGCATGAGGCATCTTTTGGCTAAAAGCGGACACCAAGAAAGCGGACTCCGGTCAGCTGGTTGTTCCAATTTTCAGACATTCGATCCATTTCGGGTTGACATTGAAGGCCTGCGCTTCCAGAGAAAAAAGGCCATGTTCTCCAGGGGGTTGACACCATTCCCAAGGTTTTTGACCAAGAGGCTCCCCAGAAGTGACACACTTTTCGGCTTACAAATTCCAAGGTGTCAAAAATGCAAAGCCTTACCATGGCGGGAGTTGCCATTTTTCAATGTGCATTCCGTCTAGAGGGTTCATGGCCTAACGCGGAAGGAAGGACTGATTCAGAAAACGTTTGCTATATGGCCGTGGGTCAAAACCAATGGTACCATTCTGGGGTAATTAGGTGCACCACCCATTTTAGAACCCATTTTAGTGGGGATTGGGATGTTCACTGGGGGCTAGCCGGGCTTTTGACCCATAGCCATATCCGCATGAGCACTGGACTCCAGGTTCCTACTGGCCTTTGTTCGGTTGCAGGAGCTGCAGAAGCACTCCTTCCTGCAGATCTCTGGCTTCGCCTCGAATGCGAGCGCCTCAAACCTCAGCCTTGTGAACGTGACGAATGTCGCGAACGTCACGAACGTCACGAACGTCACGAACTCCACCTCGAGCGAGGCGAGATGATGGGGAGATGATTTCTGGCACGTGAGCCACTTGCTCAAAACCCGGGTAGATGAAGGTTAGTAAGGGGCAGCCCCAACCATAAATAGCTGCGGCCGGCTTCTTAATTCTTTACATGGTTCTGGGTAGACCATTTTAATACCGGGTTTTGATTATGACTCGCGTGTCGTCTTATGGACCCATCTTCCCAAGCAACATGACACATTCACGGGCCTCTCTGGGCTCGTCTTCCACAGCCAAAGACTCGCAATTGCTATCCACTTCTGTTGGTTGCTGTGCTCATATTTCTCGTTGGTAGAGATTTCTTCTTGCAGATGGTTTGTAAATTTCAAGGAGCTGCCTTCAATTTTCAGGCAGCAGGCAAGCGCTTTCCATTGTCGCGGGCCGCGTCGTGTTCTGGCAGGTTCCGCGACACCCCTACCAGGCAGGCGGTTTTGCCGTAAAACGCCTTTTTTTGACCGTCGTTTCAAAGGGAAACGAAGAGGAAGTCACTCATTTGCTTGGTTCTATTTTGAGCGCAACCCCAAAGGCACGTGACACTTTTATGTCTGGAAGCGGCGAGTTCAGACTCGTGCTGGAGCCACTCAAGCTTAGCGTTTCATCCACTGGGTCCGGTTTTGACCAGAGCTGCGCTTTTCTTCCGTCAGGCTGATCTGTTCAGACCTTCCGGGATCGCAACTTGGGACTTGGTGTCCTTCCGGCCTTCAAAGAACCCGCCGACCCACACGCCTCTCGCGACGCTCGACGCCTTGACGCCTTCGCCAGGTGATACCCACGCCCATGAACCAGTCGACTCGCTTCGGGGACTACCTGGGTGCCATGCAGTGAGCCGAGTCCGGCAGTCGTTCAGGTCTGGAAGTTGACCGATGGCGGAGTTGTTAGATTCGTTCAACTTAGGAATGACAGTTCCGCTATGGGTCAACTCCTGAGAGAAGCTGGTCTCTTCTGCTGTCACAGGGAATTCACGAGCCACTGCTGAACGAATTTTTGCTGGAACCTGAAGGCAATGTTCATGCACCCCGAATTGCCATCTCTGGGCCTTTGCGTCTTGCGTGCGTGGTAAACGCTCTCTGAAATCCCAACGCAAGTATTGGAAAGTCGCGAGCCACGTGGATCCGTGGACCTCAAAGGGACAGTGGAAATCCGTGAAACCGTGCTTCACCAGGTTCAAAAGGATCTATAGATCAGGGCCTTTCTAGGGGTACCTTCCCCATTCTTTCCAGAGATCCTTGTTTTTGGGAAACCATCACAAACCCAGGGGAAACGGATCCGATGGTTGAAAAGAATGGAGAAGGAATCAACGTCTGGAGCCTTGGGCCGTCTGCCTGCCGTTGCTGCTTTTTTTTTGGTCCTTTGTTGAGTGTCCGCAGCGTTCCTTGCAGAACGCCAAAGGTCCACTAACCCCGACTCCATGCGTGCAATTCATGTGAACCATGGTCACGTTTTTGACCTGCTGGTGGGGATGGTCGTGGCTCCTTTGATAGACATATACCTCGGATTTTTCAGGGGACCCGTGGCTGATATCAGGAGTTTGGATGTGGCACCAGGGTGAATGGGCCGTGAAGCCCTTTGGGCAGATCAGCAGGTTCCACTTTGAGAGCTTGATTCCATTCAACCGATCCCTTCAATGGCAAAGGCTTGCTGGTGCGATAGGCAGGGAAGGAGAAATGGAATGACCCCAAACGGTGGTGTCCTTTACCGTGACCCCTGGGTTCATTCCCTCATTCCCTACCTATCCCAGCAAGAAGAGGGCATTCTGAAATGAACGACCAAAGCCGTTTCGGGCAGATGAAGGGTAAGGGGCAGACCAGGCCTTGAGTTTGGCTCCAAGACCTAAGTGGTGGCCTCTGGTGTAAGACAACTCCCGCGGATCATTTCTCCGCTCTTGAAAGGGCAGTGGTAAAGGTTGGCGGAGTCATTTTTCTGCAGCCGCCAAATCTCAGGACTCAGCCCAGAGAGGTGGGATTTGCTGGTCTCCAGGGCTGGCTCAAGGCTTAGGGGTTCCGTCCCCAAGCCAGAGCCGTTCTGTGTGAAGTGTCTTGGGCACCCCCTCTAGCTGTCGATAAAGGACGCCTTGGTCCTGTACAGGTCTCTCCCAATCTCACCCATTGATGCGAATCTGGAGGGGCTTTCTTTGAAATGATTTCTAAAGAAAGCCAAACATGTGAGAATAGTGCGGTTCTCGCAAAGGACATGATAAAATGAGTGTCCGCGGAGAACGAACTGCGCCTTGACGTAGCAACATAATCGATAAACCATGGTAAACATTTATAGACAAAACATAGATTGACAAAACATAGCAACATAAATTTTAATCGTAGCAACATAAATTGACAAAACCGAGGGAGGTCCATTTTCGGGCTGGACCTTTAGAGAGGTACAGCCTGCAGCACTTGGCGGGGGACTACCCCATGGTCGAATACACTGGCGCCGGCAAGCCGGGGACCACGGGAAATTTCTGGGGGGAAAAGTCGCAGGTTAGACCCATGATAGTAGCAGGTGGGGGGGGGGGGTTAGGTTTTTGGTGTCGGGTGGCGGTGGATTATATATGTGGGTGAGATGTAAAGACCTCACAGAACCTCACCCCAAATGGTGGTTTATTTGGAATAGCCCCCCCAACCACATTATTTCAGGTTGGTGAAATATTATAATATGTCACCCAGATATATGTAGCTAGGCTCCTGCAGGCGATGTTGTTCTGTTCAGGCGGGTCACTAGCAACAGAAACGCAACCTCCAATGGTCCAGTGCTTGTGGATTCTTGTGGATTGCAGCCAATGGCCAGCAAATGATGGGAGGACTGCTTTTCCTTTTGTTTTTCTCGTGGCAACTGGGGTTTGGACAGGGGGTGACCTACTTGTTCTTAGAAGGGACTGTTGTGACGAACCTCACATTTGAAGCCTTTGCAAGAACTCAACTGGTGTACCATGTCATCTCCATACCACTAAGAAAAGGAAAGTGATGAGAAGCCAAAGTTGAGCGTGCATGTGATGATTTTCTATCGACTGGCTGCAGTCTTCTCGGCACATGTTCCCCGAGCCAATAATTTTCGCACGCACCGGAGCACATCCGCTGAGCCACTCGACTCCTACGGAAACTCTTGCTGCTTTTTTTTTTGTTGTTGTTTTGATTTTTTGGGGGTGAAGGGCTGCATTTGAAAAGTCAAGCAAAAAAGGATGTCCTTTTCTTCCCGTGAACATCTATTGGGCATTTGAGCAAGAACCCACGTGGTCAGACAAAAAACAATGGGTGCATTGAAGTGATCATTGTTTTGGCTGTTCAACGGAAATCCTTAGTCCTTAGGTTGTGCAAGGAACCGGTCCAATTTGTAGTGGCTTCTCTATAGGGATTATGGAAAATCGGATTGGCCAAGCCTCCATTTTGGCGATCCGCTTCAGAAAATCGAATCGCTTTGTGCCGGAAATCATGTCAGGAGCTCTCTATTGGAGTTCTCCGCAATTCATCTCCTTTAGGTTTCTACTTGTGATGATTCTCACAAATTCATGTTCCGCGTTTCTGGGCCAAGCACCCAACCACCCTCCGCTTTTGGGGTGCGCCATAAACATTTTCAGGGCCTGTGACCTTGGCCGATTTTGGGCCGCTGTTGGGCGGTTGTCTATGGTGAGCCATCAGGGAACCGCGCAACGACGCGCTCTCTTTTTAGCTTTGGAAACTTGGAGCCCCGTGTTTTGCTTTGCGGAAGAGACCACCCTAGGAACCTGGAGCCGTTCTTTTCTGGCAAAAGCATCTTCCAGTAGGTGTCCTTTTTGCTTGATTTAGTTGAAAAATGGAGGGCCCTGGTTTCAATCCACTACCAGGGCCATCTATTTTCCCAAAAAGGACACCTATGCTTCCAGTCATCCAGCCTCCGAGTCTCTTTTTTGTTTTTATTCCCGGGCGCCGAGGCTGGTGCTGATGCTGGGCCTGGTCATCGGCACCTGCGCCATCACGGCGTGGACGGCCGTCTTCAGCTCCGCCATGGCGCCCTTGGCGCGTCGTGTTTTTTTTTTTGTCTGCCGTTTGTGCCAGAGATGGCTTCCTTTGGCGAGCTTTGCGCATAAAACGGTTGGGCAGCAACCTCTACATCCTCCCTAGGTTTTTTTTCCCCCCCAACAGCTGAAAGCTTTGTCTCAGCCCAGATAGGCTCCGGGGTGGTCCGGGGCGGCCCTGAGGCAAGGTTCCACGAGGATTCCACCAGGGTTCCAAAAGGGTTCCACGAGGGTTCCACGAGGTTCTGCGAGGGCTGCGGGATGGTGCGAGCACATTTTAGAACCTATTTTAGTGGGGATTGGGATGTTCACTGGGGGTACGGGATTTTGGCCCATAGCCAAATGGGTCCCAAAAAACGGCCCGGGACACCTGGAACACGTCTAACACGTGACCCGCAAGAGGATGTGTCATTTTTTTTGGTTTACTGCATGTTTTTCCAGTAGTACTGGCGTACAACTGAAACCGTTGGTCGAGATTCTGTCTACACTCTTCCGACGGCAACCCATGGAGAACGCCCCGTGCCCAGGGTTCGATGGGCTTTGAGGCAACGGACCTTTGGACTCCAGATCCATAGGAAAGCGAATTTGGGGATCCCCAATGCCTCCTTTTGTTTCGAGTGATGGCGTTTGGACGCATTTCGGTCAATGCAATCAAGACAGCAACCACTCCCAGCTTCCAACAGCTCTGTTTCATGCAAGAAACCCAACAACAAAAGCTTCCCGAGCTAACAAACGCTTACTCGAGCTTGTCTTCCCACGTCCAACCCTTTCCAACAAAGAAAGCTTATCCCACGGGAAGGGAAGACGCCCCTCAAATGCCGAGAGGGGGCATGAGCCAAGGATAGACGCAAGTTGGATGCGCTTTAGGGGGTCTGTCTGTGTTTGTTTTTTTGTGTGTGGGGGTAAAGGGAAACCTTTGAAAGAAGCCATTTGGCTTTTTCCGGGTCGCGAAGTCGCTTCATGGGCCTGGTTGGGCTTTGGGATGGACGGCAGAAAAGGACGGGGGCGGAGACTGGGTTCCACGGACGCGTTTTGGGCCTGGCTCGGTTCTTGGTTCCGTGGGTTCCCCAGTGGGCAATGGAAGGATTCCCCAATCGATCAAAAGGAAAGTGGAGCTGAGAAGTCAAGAGTTGAGAAGGTCCAAGCCAGGGCCCCCGAACGTCAGAACGTCAGGTTCCATGTTTATTGGTGGGAGCGTAACCCCATGGAGCCCCCCCCAAACGTGGAGCCCCCCCCAAACGTGGAGCTGAGAAGAGTTGAGAGATTTTGAGGTGAACTACCTGGCCAACGAAGCTGAGGAGGACGCAACGGGAGAAGCGAACCCCCCCGGGCAAAAAGCTGCGCTCACTTTGTTGTTCCCATGTGGCGGATTTCTCTGCAACCGGAAAAGCGCACACTCGTTTCTTGGTGGCTCCCAGGCATCCCCTTAGCTTTTTAGCCTTTTAGTGTTTGGTGGTAGTTTCCATTTCACCCACGAAAGGCTGGTCACTTTTAGCGGGGGATCCGAAAACGGGCAGCCCACCAACGGGGGCAAGTGGCTAAGGCTTGTGCCCTGGCAAAAAAAAGCGGACCCGTGAGATGTGCGTTTTTGGGGGGCTGCGATCCAAAAAGGGCACCCCCCCCCCCCCCCCGGGCGACCCTCAACCCCCGTTGTGTTTTATGCCAGGTGCTTCTTGCCGCTGCACGGGTGCTGATCGCAAAAGAACCCACCTGGCCGCTTCCCTTTTTCACGCCTTTCTGGAGACATTCATCAGGCATATTGGTCCGGGGAGTTCCATCAGGAACGATTCTGTGTTGCTTGAGCGGAGAATTCGCTGGATGAAATCCTGAATGTATTGTTTGACTCAGAATCTAGCTTAGTCAGGAGAGACAAGTAGTAACCGCAAGCTTGAGTCCGCTTGCTGTGGCGGCTGGCATGTGAGTTGACTAGGCACCCTTTTGCCAACCTGAGACTAGCATTTCACGGGGAGTTGACCTGGTTTTGACCAAACCTGGTGTTGTCGGATCTTAAATCGCGGTGGCCCTCAGCCATCCCCTAGCTCTTTAGGTTTTTGGGGTCCGGGCAGTTTTCAGTTCGCCCATTAAAAGCTCGGCGCTTTTCGGGAAGATCTGAGGGCAGCTCAGTTAGAGTCTCGGCAGTCGCCTGGGCCCAGGACTACTTGGCCAAAGCGGCCAGCCACCGGATGCTGGTCGCAATTGAGGCGCGAGCGCATGGAATTCGTTTTTGCTTCCTTGATATTCCCTCATTTCCTACTTATCGCACCAGCAAGTAAATGCCTTCCTATCAATGCTACATCCCTGGCTTTATTCTACTTCCTTACATTGCTTCTTATCTCAATCTGGTGCGGATTTCCAACTCCACTGGCGTCTCCAGCACGCCTGGGACTGGGTGCTCCTCGCTTGTTTTTGTTTGGACCCCTTGGTGGCTTCCTTTGGCTTTCCGAAGACCCATCAAGAAGAAGGGCCTTCCCATAGGTTTCCGCGCCCAACTTGGCGCAAGCCCACACCTTGCGGGAAGCCCAGGCTAGAGAAGCAGGAAGCCCGACCAACGGCTCGGGGGAGTTTTCTATTTTCGACCTTTTTCTCGACTGGGTGGGTTTTCTTCGGCGAGACGCGCAACCCCATTCGATCAAAGTTGTGTTTGATTGAACGGTCCAAACAAATTGCAGGGTGGCCTTTTCAGGTGAAAAAAACCAAACAGGCATTAGCCACAATTCTGGAGGGTCCAAAGCCCTATTTTGACACAAACCCAATTTCTGCCCTTGATGGTTTGGTCATTGTGTTGCATAGTTGTGGCATTTGCACCTCTTGGGAGCAGGACAAGTGGCTTTGGATGAGCAGGTCAAGCGGACTGCATGTTCACAAAAACCGGCATGTTATGTGTGTATATATATATATATACACCCACGCATATACACCGATACACACTGTATTTACATGTATCTACTTTCTTGCATTGCTTCACGAGTGGTTGAGGCTTCGCGAGTTGCAGCGCATTAGGGACAGAGAGCCTCTCGCCTTTTTCCCAGCACGTCACAGGGTGTCGACTTGAGTGATTCGTACCTTGCAGGTGGTGATGCGTCTACAGCAACAGTGGAGGCGGTTCATTGGGCTCACCGAAAGTCGTGCGGGGCCTGGACTTACTTCCATTTGGTTAAGCATATTTTGATTTTCCCTTGTTGGTTTTAAAGGGAATCTATCACTACTGGATTTTTCGTAAAACAAAAAGAAAATCCAGGGGACTTAAGCAAATGGAAGGTTATGGGACGGAAATTGATACAGACTAGCTGACTAGCATGGGGCCTGAAGCGCACCCAGCACCTCAGCACTGTTCGAAACCACCTTTGTGAGGGTTAAAATGTCGCCATTCAATATCACCATGAACAAGTGTTGGCCGATCATTCAGATCAATCCAAGCGCTGTTTTGTTTAGATCTCCGATCAAGTTGAACTAGATTATTCCGGAGGACTGTACTGATTGAGTCCATTTGGAACAAATCATCCCCACAACAAAAACCCAACTGCATACATGGGGGGTCGACACTGCAGAGCCCAGAGTTTTCTCCATGGATTTGTTTCAAGTTTTCTCAGCTGACCAGATCTTCACTGATGCGAATGGGTGGCATCACTCACTGGTGGCCAATCGATCAGTTAAGGCACGAGTGCTGATCGATTGGAAATGGTGAGACCTCCACAATGGGTTGCCCAATCGGCAACTGGAAACATGGACTAATAACCAGCGGTCCATCTCCTGGTGGTTCAACTTTGACCCATACACACTTGAAAAGCTAGGCTGTTCGGGAGTCTTGGCATGGTGGGCCCTGTTTTGGTTTCCCTTTGCCCTTGGCAAACCATGCCCTTGCTGATTCCAGCGTGGACTCGCTCTGAACCCCGAGATTCCAACTGGAAACTCCCAAAACATTGGTGCCCTTTTTAGGTGAGCTTGATCAAACAAGGATGGGTTCCACTGGTTTAGATGGGGTTTCTTCCATGTACCAGGGAAACCCATCTGTTTTGCCAGGCAGGCCACCTGAAAATTTCCCAACAGCTTCAGCTTCCGACAGCCGAGCGTTCCTCCTGCGGAACCCGACGGAAGGCGGCGCAAGAGGAGGAGGGAGGCCGCCATCGCGAGGGGAGGCGGGGCCGGAGTGCCGTGCTGCGCTTGGCGTGGGTCAACTTACGCATAACTTCCCGAAAAGGAGCTTCCAACACAAGTGGGTTCATGAATGCCAGAGGAGTTTGATACAGGCCCCATGCTTGAAATGAGTTGGATGGAAAGCCAGGTCGCCCATTCCTGCACAACAGGACGCGGCTCGCTATACAAATGGGTGTCACGCCAAGGAGTGGGCAAAATGTGCCATTTGCACTGTTTTGCTCGCCAAAAATGGGCTCACCCAGCCAGTGGGCGCACTTTACACTTTTTTCCTTGGTGGCTCTCCCTTTATTTTAGTGGTGGCCCAAAAAGCGCGCACTTGTTTTTGGCTGGTCACTGGCCAAGTGAGTGGGCGAGCTCCGAACATGGAAACTTCTGCAAGATGCAAAGGTCAACGGCACTTTGGAGGACAAGTTGGTCTGGTAGCTGGATGGACGTGGGTGTTTTGCACAGCGCCACACCTTTGGTCTGCACGGCCCACTTGAACAGAAACTAGCTGTGCTTCTGGGGAGTATTGGATGGTCCTCATTGCGGAGATGCCACGTACCGCGCCATGCTCGGCAGCAGCTTTGCAGTAGGAACCCGCTTGTGCATATCGTTGACCACCAGTCTGCGCGCAACGCAAGCGCTTGTCTCCAGCCGCTTGGGTTGCCTGAGTGATGGAAATGCACATGCTAACATTGTCTGCAAGAAGCGAAACGCCTTTACCCTGCTTGCCAAGCGTGAAGCTAAACAAGAGTACCGTGCCACGGGTCTGCGGCTCGCCCAGAATAATGTGGAACGCGCGGTTTCGCACTCAGGGAGATGGTCGTTGGTTGTCAATTGCTGCAAGAAGGCTCATGCCCTTTGGACTTGCGGGGATTGGCTGGGACAGTCTTGCCCTTAAAAGGCTCCCTGAGCCAAGACTCGTTTCGGGTCCGAACTCGTTTCGGCGCACAGTGACACAATGACAGGCAGTTTCCTTGGATCGAAATTCACAAGTGGTTGCCCAGTGAATTTCCAGCTTAATTAGAGATGGCCACAACTGGGCGGCCTTGTGCATCCCTTTGGTATGTTACTTTGTAACTCTGTGTGAGCAGGTCGAAGAAACGGTGGTTCGTGAAAGGCAGACCAACTTTTGGTCGGTTTGACATTGCTATGAGGGACTCCCAAGGCTTGACAAAGTTCCAACGAACTGTTGTGACAGGGCCCTTCTGAAACGACCCTTGTTGAACAAGTCTATGTCCCAAGCGTGTAAGTTTACTCGTGGTCAAACTGGTACTCGACATGAGTGAGTCAAAAGGACCACCTTTTTTTGCTGATGTTTGGAAGCCTTCATGCTTTTGTTTCTCTTGTTTGCTCGCAGGTCAGTGGGTAAATGGTCATCCCCTGTCTTTTGGATTTCAGGGAAACCTTCCCGGGATCCCGGCGCACAGGTGTTTTGGTGTCCTGGTGGGTCCTGTTCATTTCCCTTTGTACCAAAGGTTCCTTCCAGACAGACCTATATGCCTGTGGGTCAAAAATCGTTACCCCAAATGGAACCCTGGTAAGTTGGAAACATGGACCAACACCTGCGGTCCATATCCTGGTGGTTTAATTTTGACCCATACTCATATTCCCAACCTCGCCTCATCCCCAGTCAGCTGTCCCTTGACCAAAAACCGCTGCCAGAGCCGCCCGTCAACGACCTGGAGCGGCAGGCGCTCGGCTTCCGCACCAAGGCGTCCGGGGGCGAGGAATCCGATTCCGGGGGAGTGGAGCGAGCCCCTGCCACATGGGTTTTTGGGAGTCAAGCTGGCAAGGGAGATTTGGGTGTGGCTCAAAATGAAACAGGATGTTTCCACTTACCAGGGTTCCATTTTGGTAGCGGTTTGTTGAGCCACAGCCATTTGGGCAAGAGAGTGCGTGTTTTCTTCCCGGAATACCCCCCAAAACCCAGAATAGCAAACCACCCATCCAAATCCAAACCACCAATTAAGTGGAACCCGACTCATATTTGCTTGAGGCTCTTTTTAGCTGGTTGCTGTTTTATGGTTATCTTATGGTACATGTTTGAGTCGGAACAAGCAGTAGTTTTCAATGTCACAAGGAGGAGCACCAGCAGCAGCATGACTTTAAGCGTAAACGGTGTCCTGTTTCAGCAAACACCCGTTTGGGGAAAATGGATTCACCGTTTGATCCGCTTTTGGTCAAAAAATGTTTGTCGACCTGATAGAAGTGCGGTCTCTGCGTTTCCCAGCCAAAAGGCAAACGGGCTGGGAAGGGTCTGGAGTCAACCCGAAAGCATGTTTGATTGGGAAGTTGGACTGGTCGAGTCTGTCCCCTTCTTTTCACCCTATGACCATGCTTTTCACTGGACCTTCCTGTCAGGAGCCCGGTGCTTTGGGAATTGGAAGCCTGGAGGGCAAACGGGAAACCCCTCCTTAACTAACAAGCTTTCACCAAACCAACTTCCAAACAACCAATTAGCTTGTACCAAACCAATTGGTATCTTAACCAACAAACTTTTACCAAACCAATTTCCAAACCACTCTTTTAGAGGCACCCATGGGACCCCTATTATTTTTTCCTGTTCCTGTTGGGCACCTTTGAAGCCGTACACGCGTTTGCCACGGCCAGCGGCCAGCAGCTCTTGCCGCGCGCCAGGTGCGGCGGCTCCTCTTCCGCCAAGGGGCCGCTTGGCCGAGGAGTTCTGGGCGCGGCGCGGCGCTCCGGTGCTTCTTTTGGTCGCCCTGGTGGCTTGGGGGCGGGGCGTGCTTCCCTTGAACATCCGGGTGAATTGTAACGGCCTCACACAACCTCACCTCAAATTGTGGTTTATGTGGGGAATAGCCCCCCCAACCACCTTGTTTCAGGCTGGTGAAATCTTACAACTCCAGGAAAATGGATCCTTTCTCTTCGAGGCTTTGGCAGAATGGGGGTCTGAAAGATATTCAGCGGCAAAGGCCGATTTTTTTGGGGGCCCTGTCGTGGCAAGGGGCGATTCGCCCCTTGAGGCCCGTCAAGCGAAGGGATGGCAAGTAGATGCAGAAGTGAGCTGAATCGAGACACCTGGGTTGCCCGCACATCGCCTGCTCCAGGAAACACCCCGGCTCAGAAATCTAAAGCTTCTCAATCTAAAGTTGGCAAGGATTGGCAGACACTCCGAGAAGTGTGGACACATCGAAATCCATGAACGCGACCTCGCTTAGGCCTTGGGTAAGGCTCTCATCTTCGTCTTCCAGGTCACGCTGGTCGTCAACATCGTGGCGAACCTGCGCCTTGGCAAGGGCCGAAACCACTTCTTGCGAGCAGGGGCCATGCATAAGCAGTGTGTGTGTGTGTTTTTCTTTTTTGCTTTTGGGATCTATTTGGGTGTGTGTTTTTTTCAAGGGACCCTCTCCTAAAGGATCTATTTGGGTGTGTCTTTTTCCTGGTGGTTTCCCTTTTGGCCTTTCTTTAAACCGGTACCTCCCTCGGACCCAGGTCGGTGTCAAATTCGCGCAGCCAGTTTCACGTTTTGCAAACTGGTTTTGCACACTTCAAGTCTCCGAGCTTCGTAGTTGCCAAAGATCATGTTGGACTGGCAAACTTTTTGCTTGTCGACTTGTTTGGGCAACCCACAGAACTTGCGGCGTGGAAAGTGTGGGTTCTCCCAGCGAACCAGCCGGCCATGTATCTCCTGCGTCAGGGCGCACAAGGCGGCTTCAAATGTGTCCGGGGATGGCTGAGAGATGATCACATATATGTTGTATAGGTGTCCTTTTTGGTTGTTTTGGTCAAAAAATAGATGGCGATTCCTGGTTTACCTGGTGGTTCAATCATCTACCAGGGCCATCTATCTCCCCTAAAAGAACACCTATGATGTTGTTGCTGTGCTTGAATGATTGAGTGATTGAGTTGTTCAGTGCTTGCTTTCTCCTGTGATATCTATTCGTCAACATGGGAAAGCAATAGCTGCTCAGTTAGACAGGCTGCTCCTTTTTGTCTTCCTGCCTGGTTGCCTTCCTGTCTGCTTGTCTGCCCATCAGCTTGTCTGCTTGCTTGCTTGGTGATCTTGTTTTAATGTTCAAACGAGTATGGACTTCCTCACTCCACCACCTGCACCTTTGATTTCCTTGCGCTCTATGTCGAATCACACAACCGGGCCCCCGGTTGGAGTGCGATCAAAACGAATCCCAAGATGATGTTTCAAAGCCACAAAAGCAACCTGATCATCAGACCAGATGTTTGGGGCCAAGCCTCTCGCGGGATCCTCCGGCTAAAAGCCTCCAGGCTGCATTCGCTGCCGGAGTGGCGCCGGGCGAGCTTGCTGTTGCGCGCTTTTGTCCCAGAAGCCATGCAGACAAATTTCCGCGCGCAGTGCCGGAGGTCCCCACTCGTTTTTGCTCTGTCAACGCCAAACTGGTCGAAGAGAATGCCAGTGGAGCATGGCCAAGGGGCGCGTGAAACTCTACTCTCTTGTTTGCTTGCCTTTTGAGCGTCCCCTTTCTCTGAGCCCTCGGCCGAAAATTCCTCGCTTTTGCGTGCCAGGTTCCGTGAGAACAAGCAGGTGGAGCCGGTGAGATGGAGGGTGGAGGCGGGGAGGTCTGCAGAAGTGTCGCGTCGGAGGTCAGCCGTTACTTGCACCAATTTTCTGAGGAGGGGCATTTTTATTTTTTATTTTTATTTTTTAGGTTTTTTAGTTTTTTTTCATGGTGGGTGGCTTTTCTGAGGGCTTCCCTTGTTTGGTGGCTTTAGCTCGGCAGGCGGGCTCTTGTATGCCGCCGATTTCGGCAACCAAGAACCCGAAGGGCTCAGCTTCGTGCGAAGCACGGGCGATTGATTGACAAGGATGGACCAAGATGCAGTCAAGTCTCTACAACCACGAGCCGTTTTGACAAATAGATATTGTCGTGGGAAGATGAGGCATACCGCGGCATACCACAGGTTTCAAGCCAGCAGGGCAGTCTCCTGTGAGTCTATCGGATGGTTCGTCCAGAGAGTACTAAGATCTACTGACTGCAACCTCCAGCGAAGTCTACTGTGGAACTCTTGAGTTGCGGATGGCATGGCTGAGAAATCAAAACCGGGGTAGATGACGGTAAGGAACACCAGCCTTTCAGTTCCCTACATGGATTTGGGTTGTCTGAGTAGATTCGGGAAAAAGTGACTCACTCGACTCTGGAAAGAGTTGCGACACGGGTGTCAAAGTTACCGACCCCTTGAACCCCCTACTGCTAGATGCCAGAAGACAACTTTGACAAGCTGACGCAGAGTGGGTTCTCGGAAGGCGGTTTTCTGCAGGAGCAGGTTGTTTTTTTGTTTTGGCGAGCTTTCCCCAAAGGAAAGGCAATCAGTATTCAAACTCAGTTGGCTGTGGGTCAAAAACAGGTGCCCAGACTGAAAATGGTGGCAAGTAGAAGTGTACCAAAACCTGCGGTCCTGGTGGCTTTATTTTGACCCGTACCCATATTCCCAACGACTCATCTCCTTTCAGCTGTCCCTTGACCATCGCCAGCCCAAAATAAAAACCGCTGCCAGAGCCGCCCATCAACGACCTGGAGCTAAACTCAGTTTGGCTCGCGGCCTGTGCCCCATCCAGGCGGTCTGCGACCTCATCTTCCTGGTGGAGCTGATCTTGTACCTCATCGCTGGCAAGGGCCGCCAGGGCCCTCGGAACAGCGGAAAAGCGCAAAGGGCTGGGGGTTCCAGCTGCTGAAGTTTGTGTGAAACCTGGGAAGTGCCCAGCCACCCGTTTTTTTTTTGGTTCTTTTTTTTGTTTTGTTTTTTTGCTTTTTTGGGTTTAGTGGTTGGGTTCCACAGTTGTCCCTTTTTTTTCCAAGGAACAGTACCCCCTCTAAAACATGCTCCCAAGTCATGGCGTTTCTTGGGGGAAGCACGCTGATGAACCCTTGGTCAATCAAGGGTCAACATGGGACCAGTTGGGGGGGTTGGTGTGCTTTCGGGTTCCCTCAGAACACTGCCCCAACAGCTACTGGAGTTCCCCAGCCTGAAATTGAAGCGGCGGAAAGCCGCCCAAAGCGATGTTTGGTTGTGACTCTCGAAGACATGCGCCAAGATGGACCGGGATGGTGTCCAAGGGCTTGGTCAAACAGGTTTCTCCTGTTCCCACCCCTACGCCCAAAGCTGCCAATTGGCATTCCCGCTAGTTGCTTGCGCTTGGCAGGCTGCTCGCTTCCCAGAGATCCGTTTTGTTGTTCCCCGAACCCCTGATCTTGACTCCTTGGGATAAAGTCAGAAACTGGAGCCGCCGCCCTTTGTCGGAAAACATCCGACGCCTCTGAGGACCTTCTGGGCCTCTCACCTTCCATGCGCAAGTTTGTGGATGGAAGACTAGGTCCCCCGTAGTGCCCGTTGACCAATTTTTTTGTTGGGGAGTTGGTACCCTTATTCTAACTCTAACCTCTCTACTGGAGGACCTGACACTAGAAACATTTCGCTTGCCTCAGATTTTACGACCCTGAAGAAATCTTTGGGTGGCGCGGTGAGAAGAAGAGTCAGTGCCCGGAGCTGATCGTCTCTGATCTTCACTTCAGCAAATAGATGATAAACCTCTTGCCATCGACTTGACATGGGGCCATAGGCGTCCTTTTTAGGTCAGTTTGCTTAGAAATAGATGGCACTGGTTTGGATTGGCTTTCGTTCATTTACGAGGGCCATCCATTTTACTAAAAGGACGCCTATGCATGGGGCCTGGTCCGATTCTGATGTTATGCGCTGGGTAAATCAGGTGTAAATCTGATTGGTAGTCTGTGATTCATTTGCGGAGGAACAGAAGGGCTCTCCCATGCCTTGGAACAGCCCAAAGCATCCCCAACAGGTTTCTGCCAGCACCATCTAACAATTTGTATCCTCATCCGTGCTGTCACATTTTCTGTGGCCCTTGCGGTTGTCTCAACTCAAAACATCAAAACGAAGCTTTCAAAGCCCGGGTCAGGGATATTGCTTGCGCAGGCCCCTCCACACAGGTCACCCCGTTTTGAATTCGCCCGTTTCGAAGTTTCGGTGGCTGGAAACGAGACCACAGGTAGCACAGGTCACATGATGTCTTAAAAAAATCGGGGTCCATTCCCTCCAACTCGGCTGATTTTTGCGTTGGCCCTAGAAACAGGGGGTCCATTCCCTCTAACTTGGCTGGATTTTGTGTTGGTCTCAGTAGAACAAATCCAACCCAAACGGATTTTGAGGCACGCCCACCTGCCAAAAGGGGGCCCGTCAGGTCAGGGCGTGCGATGGGTCTTTGGCCGGACGGTGGCGCCGCGGATTGATTGGACTCGGGGCCGGCGCTCGCTTTTTTTGTTTTTGCGGCGCCTCGCCCCAACAGTTTCTCCACTTCCCGCGTAAGAGCTTCGCCCCGTTTTGGGGGTTGGACCCAAGAAAGGCCCTGGGGCTTCTTCTTTTTCTGGCCGGGCGTCCACGGAAGTGAGCTTGGAGACTCGAACGGCCCCTAAGGATCAGAACTTCTTCATTTGTTTGTTCGGGCCGCTTGGGGGAAGACTACTCTAAAGGGCATCTGAAAAGATGGAAGTTTTATGTCATTTGCCCAGGGATATGGAGGAGCTTACTTTGGCAAGAGAGCCTCGCAGGGTCTCGCAAGGTTGCAGTCCAGCGCATTGCTGTGTCCGTAAAGTCACTCATCCCCCCCAAGTCACCCATCTATGAAAGGAACTCCAAAGTTCCTTTCCCACACATCTTCCCCTTTGGGCACAAGGGCAATCTATGGATGGGGCACGCTTTTCGCGCTGGTGTCGTCACACTCTGTCACCCGGTCGTAGCGCTCCGGCCTATCAGCTGGTGACCTGATCATGTGGGCTTGTTTTCTAAATAGGGGAAACCCCTCAAAATGGGCTTCCCTTTGTCCCGCCTGGACAAGGCGGTAGCATCAAAGATCCAATCTGTGACCTGAGACGATGATGTTTGTCTTCAGGCGCTGTGTCTTGGTTGACAGATGCAAAGTAGTGGGAAGGCCAATGGGCCAATGGGCCTGGCACTCAAAAAGTCCTTGGTTGTTGGTTTTCCTCCCCAGTCCACCTCACGGTCATGTCGTTTTCGCTAGGCCATGAGAAAAATCTATGGGCCCTGACTCCCGAAGGGTTTCCTTTCGATAAGCTCTCCCCAGGCTCTCGGCGCTTTGTTTTGACCTACTGGTGGACGAAATCCGATCGCACCTTGAAACCAGGGTTGAAACCATCTAGGTCCTCCAGGATCGTGCCCTGTCTCACCCCTTTTTTGGGGGAGGGTTGCCCTAGTTAAAATAGACTACAGAAAGCAAATGGGGTACAGAAAGCAAATCGGGTACCCTTATTCTAACCTCCCCACTGGAGGACCTAGCCATTTTCTCTCTTTTGTTAGGGGGATCGAATCATTCCGTTGGGTGAACTCGTCGGTGCCTCGGATGATATGTTGACTATCACCCCCAGTTTATGCATATGGGGTGTCCATTTCTGGGTTCAGTGGGGAATCAGACCACTTTTGGAGGGGCCAAACACCACCCCGCCCTATTAAATAAACTGGGGGGGATAAAAATGGGGGTGATTAACATGTTCACGAAGCTGTCAATGCCCTCCCCAGGGTCTGGCCCAAGTCCCCCGTGTGAATGTATGAAGGTGACAAACGAAGCCAGTGATGTTATGACAAACCAACAAACCCCCCATGTTGAGATGCGCAAAGTTGGCTTTTCCATCTCGGCATAGAAAGCTCGTCTCGCGCTCGAGTCGCGAGCCAGACGCCGGACGCTCGAGGACATGGTGTGCCTGGTGCCGGGGCTGGTGGCGCTCTGGCATATGGTGAACCGTATCAAGAAGCTGGAAGACCTCGACATGGAGCTTCTGGGGCCCGGCGCCCGGCTCGCTCGCGCGAGCCAGCTCGATTTGGATTTTTCTGGGGCGCGGGATGGAGGGATGTGGTGCGGAGGTGGGGTCTTTTTTTCCCTTCCTTTTTTGAGGCGGTGGGGCAACCGTCTTTTGTGGGTTTAATAGGGATGGACGGGAAACCCATGTTTTTAGGGTCCCCCTTTTAAAAGTCACACCCAATTGGGTGTTTCCACAAACGGTTTGCACGCGAACGGTTCTACGATGGATTACAGGCTTGGTTGGAAGTGCAGACCCAAATCTAGGAGCAACAGCGTGAATGGTATGAACTAAAGACTCAAGATTCCCGGTGAATTTTGGGATCCCGATTAAGGATGTGCAAGAAACAGAGGCTCCCCGCTGAAAAATCCATGTTTGAGGGTTCTTCGGGTTCAGGATTTGCTTTCCGGCCTGTAGGCGCTGCCTTGCAGGTCGTCTGAAGTCTTCAAAAGCAACGACACGACGGACTTTCAAATGCTGCTGGATACGCTTCAGATGCGAGGTGCTCAGCAGTGATTTCGCTTGCCTCATATTGTCTTGCTTTTGACATTCTCACCCCGCAGTACGGTAAATGAAGCAACAGGCTTTTTTGTCGCTCCGAAGGTTCGACAGCTGGATCTTGAGAATGATAGGGCTCCCTCTGGTACCTACTGATCTTGATCTTTGCGCCTCTTGTGACACCGTCACAGCTCCTGTTGGGGGGGGGGCATCTATGCGGTCGATGCTTATTTCAGGGCCTGCCAATATTTTTGCCGGGACGTTTCCTCCCCAGTCAACCCCCACCCGCACAGAAAGTCATCTGTCAATGTGGTGCAGGCAGGTGAAACGCCGCCTCTGTTGTCCCAAGACACCCTTCCATGACTCAGGGGTCCCTATATTTCACTTTACATGTGGGTTTTAAACATCACCTTTTTGCCCAATGAAAGGTGAGTATACCTTGGTGGGGGTGATGTTTTCAGGGGAAATATAGGGAGCCCTGTGACTTGACAGGAATTCAAGCATCTGGGAGGCTTCAATCTTCTCAATCTTCCGGCTTGCCAATTGGTCAGGATCCAACGCGGATTGATATGTGGCTGTGGCTGTCAAATGAAAAACAACCAGACCGCAGATGTTAGTCCATAGTTCCATAGAACCAGGTTTGAAGTTTGGGCTTTGCATTGTTGACCCGCAGATTGGTATGTTCTTTGGTGCATTTTGCTTGGCTGTTAGGACTTTAACTTTCAAACCCAACTAATGGGTTGTCCACTAAACCACTAAAAGTTAGTCACTTTTAGCAGGGCTTCGCAGATTTCGCCACCGAGTTTCCATGTCAACGACTTGCCATGAGCTCGCAGCCAGTCTGAGGATCCGAGTGGTGCGGATCCTTTTCTGGCACCAATGGCAGCGGAAGGCCGAGTCGAAGTTCGTCGAGTCGAGTCGATGCGCGGACCGCGCGGGCGCCGCTTGCCGCGGGCGTTTCGTTTTTTTTTTTTTTTTTTTTTTTTTTTTTTTGTGTGTGTTTTTTGACCTCCCAAAAGCAAAGCGCTTAGCCAGGGTTCCCCCAGCTAGGTGCCCTTTTTTGCGGGAGGGCTCCCCTTCTAAAATGGGCAAAACAGAAAAAAGTGGGTACCCTTGTTCCAACCTCGGCGAACTGGAGGACCTTAGGGATTCCTCCGGAAGAACTGGTGCCTTGCTGGGGCCATGCTCATGTAGGTAGGGGATCCTTCTAGGGGTGCGAGGGAGTCCAGTGAGACCTGGCCCAAGGAGTTGATGATGCTCACGGAGTGGGTGTGTCGTGTTTTTGAGGCCCGGTCCTTTTTTTGTCTTGTGGTGTTAGAGGGAAGCCAGAAGGAGCGTACCAAGTTGGGGTCTAAAAGCAGACACCCGGATCTTCGGCTTGACACCACGAAAGGGGGCCGAAGTTGAAGATTTCGCCGGGGGGAGGTTGACCTAAAGAGTGACACTCGACACGTTAGCAGGAAGCCAGCTTATGAGGATTCGGGGCTATTTGCTCGCATCTTTGGACTGAAACACTTTGTGGTTGACACAGTATTCAAACAGTTATACACTCTTTGCAGAGGGGTCAACAGCAACCAAGTTGAGGATTTGTGTACGGCCTGAGATTGCGCCCGTCCGCAGAATGTGTAGAATCCCAGTGGCACAGCTGGAATCAAGAGGTCTCAAGCAGACGCCAGGTCTCCAGACACATACAGCAATGCACGCATTGATTGGCATGCGACAGACATGGCAACCTCTTTTACACTTGCTGCAACAACGGAAGCAACCTGAATCGACCTATCAGAGGATCTTCAGAAACAACCCTTGCCTGCGTGTAAAATCCTCAAGATGCAGGCTGTAAATATTGGCCTTTTGGGTATCCTCAATGCTGTCAAAACGTTTCATGCGCGGGCATATTGGTGTCAGGTTCCCACCTATTATGGGTGGCTTCTATTTTGGCTCCCCTTAACTTGGTGTGTCCAAACGAGTCGGGCCTCTGCCTATACAATGTGAGCTACCATTTGAGAGGATCTATTCTGGGCGAGTGGCACACTCCCCTCTCCATGGGAAAACATGGGGAAGGTCCGGGGGGCAAACCTTTCAACCGGTGGGGTGAAACCAACAGCTCCTTTTCACACCGTGAGTTCGGGCAGGGATGCTCGGTTGGCCATCCGGCTGTGAGTCAAACGTAAATAAAGCGCCAGCAAACCCTTGGCATCGTGCTTAAAATGTCCGCATGCGCCAACGAGAGGACCAACCACCCAAGGCTTCTGATGGTTTTGGGGCCTTCAAAATGGCTTGTTGTCAAGGGCCTCTGAGAGGTCGAGTGTTTGCGTTGGAACTTCTCAAGCGCCTTGGGGCAGTTTTGAAGTCTTCATATGTACTGTAGTCACAACATCCTTTAAGGGTAATACCTTCCCTGCATGTCAAAGTGAATCAGCATTCTCCCGCCTACTTGCATGAAGATGACTTGAGCACCAGGACGGGCAATAGGTCCATCAGATTTAGGCCTGATTGGTAGGATTGCTACAGTCATGACTCTCTCTTTGCGAGACGTCAAAGTGGCATGCCGAATTGTGAACAGTAGCTCTTTGTTTTTGGGGGGAGTATCAAAGAGACCTGGTTCTTTGTGCATTCTGGCTTTGGACTTCAAACATGGCTGTGGGTCAAAACCACTGGTACCATTTCGGGGTAGGTGCACCACCCATTTTAGTCTATTTTAGTTGGGATTGGGATGTTCACTGCAGGTACGGGATTTTGACCCATGGCCATATTCGCCCAACAGCTGCACTCGAGTCCGCTACCTGAGGCCCTAAGGCTGATCTTCAACAGGCAGTCCAGTTTGGCTGAGCTACGGTCAAATTTCTGTGCAGGTGGCTCACCATTTGTGTAGCGTAGTTTGGCACCTCATGCATGCAGTTCCCGCTGCGGTCAACGCCTACAGGGCCGGGGTGAAAGATAGGATAATGAGTGGAGTTTTGATCATGGCGCATAAGATCAAATGGTGAGGATCCCGCACGGATTGTTGCTGCGTGTGCAGTGGGATGGACGTTGACTTGAACTGCGGGATCAAAAAGCCCCAGGTTACCGCTAGGCAAGCGAATTATTTCAATTCACCCAGGCCTTGTTTGGGAATGCGTTCAAATTGAGGATCCTTTTCAGAATGAGTTCAATTTACATCCAAAAAACGCTGCCGACATTTACAATAGATGGATGGCCCCTCCTGGCAAAGGCACGTCACACGGGGCCGGCGCCTTTGAATGGTTTGGCAATCGCGGTAAAGATGCCGGCACGTGCCATCAAGTCGGAGGCGTCGCCCGTTTTGTCGCCAGGTGCATGTCGTTCTCAGCGGCATCGCCCAAACAGGTGCGGCCCAGCGTGCGTTTCGCAATCAGCCAATAGGAAAGACAACGCCTCCAAAGCAGGCGGCACCTGGTTGCTGGGTTCAAATTTGAGGTGGGTTTAGTTGATGGTTGCGAAGGAGCATCTGAACGTGACCATTTGCACCAGTCTGGAAAGACTGATTGTTGCCACCATTTGCATGAAGAATTATTACCTTTTTTTCATCGCCTTTCTATAGCAATCACAGTTCCATTGTCCTGGCTTGTGACAATAGATGCACTGGGATCTGCTAGCGAGCGTCGTTTTGTCCTTTGCCGTTTTGTCACTGCGCTCAAAGCGCTTGCCCTCTTGCCTTTGTCTGCATGGCAATTTCCATCGTTATCCCAAGGTGGGTAGCCCAAGTGAGCGTTTAAGGCCATAAGGTAGCGTTTTGTATTTGGGCTTTGTGGGGGGTGGGGTGGGGTTGGGGTAAAATCACCAGTGCCACCTTGGAGCAGATTGATTGGCACCAGCCTTGTCTTTGTCACTGTAAAACATGTGCCTTCAGCTTCTCTCGTAGGCGATTGTTATGACTCATTCAGATGAGCTCTGTGGTTTCTTCTGGTTTTAGCTTCTGCGCGACGGCCATTTGAGTGAAGAGACGTGTTTCTCAACGGCAGACTACCAGGGTGGCAGAAGACAAACGATTCGGGAAGTTGCTAAGTGAGGGACAGAAGGGATTGGGAAATCATGGGAGAAACAACAAAACAACAAGCCACAGGTGGAATGACGCACAACAGGCTTTATGCATATTTGACTTTATTTAAACATATTGCCCGGGGCATGCCCAAACTGTGATTTGGCTGTGCGTCAGGGCAAGTTCGACCTCTTGCCGGTTCATGTATGAAGTTGGCACCGCACCTTCCTCCCTCCCCTCCCGCTTTGCAAAACGTTGTTCTCCAGAGAGAGGTGGTTGCAGCTTTCGCATGTGCTTGCGAACTTGCCAAAGAATGCAGCACGTTTTGCACCTTCAAACATGTATCCAGTATCCACAAGAATGTCTATGCAAACGCATCCGATCCCGGGTCTTCCAGCCTGTACAAGGCAACCGCCCACCAGAAAACAACCTGGGCAGCTTGATCTTTGGTCATCCAGTTGACAGCTTGGGGTGTGTCCTCAAGGTGGCATGCCTTGGGCAATATTCCAGGCGATCATATGGTTGCTGCCCTCCCCTATTCACAACAACTGAAAGTGCCTGTAGGCTTCAGACCCTATGTTCAATTGAGAAATACGCACTCCTTTTGGCCACTGCAGTAGGTTTCTACTACCCTTGACGAGGATATCAAGGCCTAGACAAACCTTTTGTTACTATCTTGGTAGAACCAGGCGTCTTGCGTTTTGGGCACTGCTCACTTGGCGCGCGCCTGTGTGTGTGTGTGAAAACAAGACGCCTCTGCATGGCCTCATCGGTTCCCAAACTTGGCGACATTGTACCGCCACGCGCACACACACACACACACGCATGCAATCCAGGGCGACCGCAGAGAGTGTGACCTTTCTTTGCCTCGCAAAGTCCCGCACGCGCCACATGTAAGGCCCCATTCTGGTTGCTGAGCCCTCAGAGCAGATGGCTGACGCCGGTTTGGGGTGGGAGCTTCAGCCGTTCGGCTTCACATGCCTGGTTTTGGTGCACCGCTTTTGGACAAGCTTCCAATTCAAACTGAAGAAAACCTTTTCAGGCGGTGGCCTGGGAGTCCATGTGGAACTGCTGGCGATCAGCGATCTGCAGCCTTTTCCCCCCGGCGATCTGGGGTTGTCTCGAAATGGGAGAATCACCAAAACGCTCAGAAAAAAAAACATGCTTAACCTGGTTTTTTACCTTTCAGCCCTTCTTGCGCCAGATGCTAGCAGCGTGCTTGACAAACCTAAAGACAGAGACATGTAGCAGAGACGTGCAGCCGCCCCAGCAGGGCGCCATTGCTGCACCTCGCGGCAGTGCTTCGCGTTGCTAGGCAATGCCGATTGGTAGCGTAATTGCCCATTTGTGAAAGAGCTCATCCTTTATTCGCGTTGGAGTTTTTTGAGCGCTGGTGTGAAAGGTCATCATCCTTTGTCAGTGCTCAGTACTGAGTGGTAGCAAGTGGTCGAACAAGCCGACACAAAAAACGACCTCGAAGTCGCATGTGTAGTTGTCAAACATATTGCCCCTTGTTGGACCCTTGTGCCGCCTGGTGCCACCTTTTAAAGAGGATACCAAGAAGGGCCTTGACAATTTTGACCCCCCACCTGTTCTGGAACATCCACGCGGCCCAGATCCCGGCCATCATGTCGTCCCTGATTTGGATCATGACCTCCGCCTTGTTCGTGTGGATGGAGAACGTCTACGACGGGCCGTCCAAGGCGGCTGGGTGCGCGCTTGGGGCGCTTGGGGCGCTTGGGGCGCTTGGGGCGCTTGGGGCGCTTGGGGCGCTTGGGGCGCTTGGGGCGCTTGGGGCGCTTGGGGCGCTTGGGGCGCTTGGGGCGCTTGGGGCGCTTAGGGCTGGCAACATGGCAAGGATGGTTCGTGCCAGATTCTCGTTTATTTTCTGTTTAAAGAGTGTGACACTCCGGCGGCGGTCAACATCAGGGACTTTTGAAGGCCCAAGTTTTGACCGAAAGACCTGGCCGCACAGACGTATGAACCCAGTATGCATTTGGCCTCGACCAATGAAACAAAGCGCGCAGCCCGTGCAATTGTGTTGTCTGGCGGTTGTTGTGTGGATCACGTTGGAAGGACATTCTTACATGGCCTTTCCCCTCAGGTGCTTCCGTTGTGATCTTTGCGTCAGCAATTCTATTTCTACACCCCCCATTTTTTGGGCGGATTTATTTCTTCATGGGGTCCATTTTGCCATCTGGCGGCACACAGCAAATTGGGACGGCTGGGTAAAGGAAGGGGCCACTTTGTTTCACCCATGCATGTGTCTGCCTATTTGATGGCGAGCTCACCAATTCGAGGGTAAAACGAGCAACAACCATGAGGAAGGTTCTTTACTTGAAGATCCCGTAATTCACTAGGTCCCCCAGCTAGGTGCCCTTTCTCACCCTTTTTTTGGGGAGGCTTCCCCTACTAAAATAGACTACAGAAAAAGTTGGTACGATTATTCTAACCTCTCTACTGGAGGACCTAGTTTGCTTGGGGGTCCAATTCTTAGTTCAGCTTTCGGAATGAAAGCAAAAATTGCAGATGCGTGGCAAGCGCTTCGCAAGGACTTCTTCACCTCGGTGCCCACCTCGATGTATTGGACCTCCTCCTTCCTCATAGGCGCGGGGCGGGGCAAAACCCGTGGAAGGTGGCGAGTGGGTTGTCTCTGCTGTGCGTTCTTTCCAGGGCACCCCTCAGCTTCGTTTTTTTCTCCTTTCACAGGGCAGTGGTCGGGGCGTCCTTTGAGCACCACTTGCCATGCATGGCCCCAGGCAATGCTTTGGTCGATTTGAAGGGAAGCGCACCAAAGACATTGTTGACACACACACTTCGACTCTAAAGGACGAGAGGGAAATCAGGTGATGCGCGAGAGGCAATGAAGCCCAGAAAGCGCCATGCGCCGGCGATTTCAGTGGGGGAGTGAGGGAAGGCTTCGATCGGAAATTGTGTAGCACAACGACAGCTCATATGCAGTGGATCGGTTTTACAATCGGCTCCTTCCTTCCGCGCTGATTTCTCAAAGGACATCGAGCCAGGTCGTGAACCTTTGTTTTTCAGTCAAAAGTCGGCCGTTCCCCTCCGAATCGAAGAAAGAAGGCACGGGTTGTGGGGAAGCCTGAGTCCTG